GATTACCTATCTTTGTCCAACTGCATTATATAAGAATGAGAAACACAATGAAGCCACTTAATGTATTCAGAGACACTTATGTCCAACCTAATGTACCTCAAGAACATGGTAATCCACTTGAACGGTCAAGCTTCCTTATGATCATAGGTTGGTGTTCATTTAACCGCAGTTAATGGTCTATGATCAAGATGGAATCAGATGAATCCAATTGAAGATAATCTTATCAACCACATATTTCATACAACATGGGTATTTCTCTACATAATCCTTCACCACATCTCTCAAACCTATCTTAGGAAAATACTCGCATATCCAACTAATTATTTTGTATTTGTATAACATGAATCATCAAGTTTCTCATACATATATGTGAGTGTAGCTACTCACCAAGAACATTCATTGTATCTACTAAGATTTTGGAGTATACCCAAGTATGATACACTAACTAATGTCACTTTTTTTTCAACAAAAATAGTGCATCCCACCAAATGCGTCAAATATGTTTGAGCTTCAACGATCCATCATTTATGTGTACATACATCATCATAAACCTCTCGTATCCATTGAAATGAACATGTTCACCTATGTAATGTTTCATCTTTATAGAAGTTACTAGAAAACCAACACCAACCAACTCTTCTATGACTTCATGCACGTCCAATTGAATGTAATTATGAAACTAGTCTACAGTCAATAGTTGCAACCATGAGGACACATAATCCAATGTGATGATATTTGTCACTTATAGATGGAAGTTATTAGTTTCACTATGTCACTTCTCAATAAAAATTGATAGTAATCCCTTATTTGTTCTAGTTAACACCTATAAGTGATACAAACTCAAATAATTGAATTAGAATATCAACCCATTGGTGTGAGACCCCAACTTATTTATTTTTCTTCCATGTGATACACACTTGAACTCACCTTACAAAGGTGGTTCTCCATTATCCCTACAACTTACATAGGTGGCTAGTCGAACACAATTCCAAGATTGAGAATCACCACCTCTAGTCTTCGGCATAATGCAAGTATTTGGACATGTAAAACATAATTATATAATTAAAATTATCCAAAATCATATGGAATAATTAAGCAATTCATGATGTTTTCATACTATTCAATTCATAATATATTTTGGGAAAACATAATTTGGAAACATTTTGAATTAACTTTCGGGCTATGCTTTATGGATTGACTCCAAAAATATTATAATTTTTTATTTTGAAAATATTTTGGATTACTCCATCCAGTAATATTTTTGGATTGTTAAATTCACATTGTGTTTATGAAAAATTGATTTTGACTATTGTTTATGAAATAAAATATTCTAAGTTTTTTCTAAAGATTTTATAATATAAAACACAAACCTAAGTCTTTCTTGTCATATATTGAAATGTATTCAATTTTTAGTTTTCTTTTTACATAAGTTAAATTTAGAAATTTAGGAATTAGAAAATGTAAAATAAGAATTGAAATGAAAATCTAAGTGTAAAAACCAAAAACAAAAAATATAAATAGATCGATCCACGATTTCAACACCAAAATAATAATCTTTTCATAGATCTATAAAGATTCCAATCTAAGTTTGAACAATTAACTAATTCAATCAATCAATTAAATCAGTTATATATATATATTAAATCTATATACGGTTCAATCTAATTTATAGTTAATCATTAAACAAATATTCAATCAATTCTTAATTTGATTTCTAAAATTAAAATTTCAAATTGATGTCATGAACTCCAAAATCAAAATTAGAGGAAAGAAGAACAAATTCAAAACGAAAAACAATTGGTGTAAAAGTAAATTCAACTTATTTGATCTTGATTCATAAATTAATCATCAAGATTTAGTTCTCCACAGGTAAAAAACACAAACCAAAAGAAATGAGAAGAATAGGAAAAGTTAAAGCAAAAATGAGAGAGAAGAGAAAAAAAAAAGAAGAAGATCAAAAGACAATTCTAAATTGAAAATCTAATAAAATGATTTCTGAATATGAACATTTAGTTTATTTAGAGGCTCTCAAATTTGAAGTATATATGTTCCTAAATGTGGATTCTAATCAGATTTATAAGTTCAATTACACAAGTTAAGCTAACACAAAGAAAATATAATTTGTATGAGTTGTTTTACAAAATTTCAACAAATATGCGTCAAATTTTAAAAATGGGTTTATTTTCTTTGTTAATCACTCAAGTGAAAAACAAACAAACTAGATAACATGTTTCAAAGGTTGTTGAAGCGAGGATGACACTCAAGTGAAGTAATATTATCATTTAAGCGATATGAGATAGTTCAAGCTAGAAAAAGACAAAATTATTTAAGTTGAATACTAAAAGTATTTCACTCAAATGACAAACAAACGTTTGTAAATGAAATGTGTAGTGAAAAGATGGTGAGTTAGATACCCAATAAAGGTGTGTTGTATGTCTCAATCGAGCTAAAGATTGTTAGTTATAGTCGATTGAAATGAATATATGTCATGAGGTAAAGTCGAGTCAGACATGTTACCTATAATTGATTGATATAGATATGTTAGTGTGGGGCAAGTCAGCCTAGAATATATGATCCAAAGATTATTATAGGTAATTTCAATGAGATTTCATGTTCCACTAATAACCTCGATCACATAAACTAAGGTATCAAATGATGAGGAGCCGGTTTGAAATATTATTAATGACTCACCCTAAGACTACAAGAGAAGTACCTTAGGATTAGACGAAATTATTAATAATTATACTATGTGTAGGGAAGATAGAATGATGTTGGTAGTAAAAAAATATCTGGTGCATTATTAATTTAATAAAGTGACACACAAATATTAATCTTTAAGTTTAGGAGATAATGTTAATATTTTGAAAGATGCTAATGGTAAAAGATGTGATATTGTGAAAATGATGTATATGAAATCATAAGTGGAATTTAAATGTATTTTATGTTATATAAAATATTATTTGAATGTTATACTTACTTTATATCAAAAAAATAAATGATATTTTAAGTCTAGATAATGATTTTAATAATGATATTGTAAAAAATATAGTATAATTAATTATTTAAATGTATAAATATCTATGTATTTTATATTTTAATCTTATTGTTAATAAAGATTATTTTGTATTATATATATTATTTTATTTCATTTATATAATTTTACAATAAAACGAATTTTTAATATAATTAAGTATATTACGTGTGGTTATGTGGTTCATGTTAAATTTGTCAAATGGATTGATAAAGTAGGTTGTAATATATAAAATTAATTTAAATGAAAGGGACAATAATTTTATGAAAGTCAGAAATCATTTGTTTTAAAAGCGGGAAAGAGAGAGTTTTAGAATAATAATAAAACTTATTGATTTATAGTTAAATTAATTTAAATAATGTTTTTTTATATCTAAAACCAAATATGCATTAATATATCCTTTTATTGAATAATGTGGTTTATACAAAAGGACTATTTATCTTTTACGAGGTGGGCCAGTTTTGTCGACATGATATCATTGATGTGTTGGTAACTGCTACAAACACGTGTTTCCCATTTCTGTAAACTATTTATTTATTTATTTATATAATATAATATAAACAAATGAGAGATTCCAATCTTTCAAATTTATAAGAATCTGACACAAAAAGACTACCTGACGCCATTTTCATGTCAAGTGGATTGAGAAGAAATTGTTAAAAAAAGAGAGAATAAATGAGTATCTCTTTTATTGGTAGTATATGCAAGAAAACCTTAAAACAACTATAACAGTCTTTTTTATTGTATACCTACACTTTTCTTAATCTACTCCTCTTTTGAAAATTAAAATTTCTCTACCATTTTTTTACCATTTATAAAATAGTGAAAATATAAATTTGGATTACACGTTTAAAAAAAAATTATGTCTTACCCAAAATCATTTAAATGTTATTTTTTTTAAAGAATTTTAAAACATGTATTTTTGGAAAACATTTAACTTTATTTTGAAATGTATATTTCGAGTGTTTACGATTTTATTTTAGATTATATATCACAAGAACTTAGAGTTTTGTCTTTCTTGTAACATATATAAAATAAAAGAAATATATTTCAAATTATACATTCTAGCATTTCTTATATAAAATTATATAAATAACATTTATTTTACAAAATTTTTAAATAGATTAGAAAATATATTTAATATTAATTCAATTTATTTATTCTAAAATTCTATTTATCTCTTATTTATCATGAGAATATATAATTGGAAAGCTAGATAAATTTTTCCAGAATGTGTATTTTAAAAGTATAATTTAATCCATCAAATATATTTTTGGTGTACGTCGTAAATCAAAACTAGAATTTTCTCCTAATATTCGTCCTCCGTAGCACAATTCAAACTTGCAATCACTTGTTTATAATGCTAAATGATGCAAGAATCCTATAATTTTATATTTTCATATCTTGTATGTGAGAGATGCAGTGTTAAATGATTCAATAATTCAACCATTTCATTACCTTTATATTATAATATGATTTCCTTTAGTTTACCTAATCGTATCTAATCAATATATGTAAAATATAATTTAAAAACATCAAGATATACAACCCAAACCATTCATATAGTTGTGGAACCAGAATGAATGGTTCAAGTGGGTGGCGAAATATGAACCACAAACTTTTTTTATTGAATACTAATGGATTACATCAACATATTCCTCTTTACCAAATATGCACTATGGATATGCTAACAAAGTTCTAATAATTCAATTAAATGAATTATAGTTATATTTTATAAATCAATTTTACAAAATTAGTTCGAAGATGGTGTTTGTATTTTAATTATATATATATATATATATATATATATATATTATAATTATTTATATTTTATTAATAAATTAAGTTATAAGTGGATTGTTTGGAAAAAAAAAATTAAAGGTTTTACATTCTTTTTTTTTTCCTTTGTTTAAATCTAAAGTGACCAGAATGAAAAAGAGAATCCTACTCTATCAACAGAGCTCCAACTATGAGAATTCTTGAGCAATGCAGAATTCCTCTCCCTCCCAACTCAGAGCCAACTATCTCTCTTCTCCCCCTAACCTTCTTTGACCTTCCTTGGCTTTTCTTCTCTCCAAGCCAGCCCTTATTTTTCTATGAGTTTCCTCACCCAACCTCTGATTTCCATGCCACAATAGTCCCAAAACTAAAGCAATCTCTCTCTGTCACACTCCAACATTACTATCCTTTTGCTGGTAAATTTTCTCCCTCTTCTGATCTCACCAAACCCCACCTCATTTGCACTGATAACATCTCAGTTGCATTCACAGTCACTGAATCAAATGGAGACTTTAATCACTTTTGTGACAATCACCCTAGAGATGTCAAAGACTTCCACTTTCTTGTACCCAAATTGGGCTCAAGCTTTTCACATGCAGGCAAAGAAGAGTTTCCTTTGATTGCTATTCAACTAACACTATTCCCAAATGTTGGTATTTGCATTGGCCTTGCTTTTCACCATGTTGTTGCAGATGGGAGGACCTTCCACAATTTCCTCAACACATGGGCCACGTATTGTCGCGGCTTTGCAGCTTCAGCATTTTCACTGAAGCCACTCCCATCTTATGATCGAAGTGTGATTGTCGATGCAAAGGGTCTTGAAGAGGTTTTCATGAAAGAATGGAGAAAAAGAAGACTAGTGCAGGACATTGCCATAGGTAGACAACCCAGATCCGTAGATCTCTCAGGTATGGTTAGAGCCACATTCTTGATGAGTGCCACTGAAATGGAGAAAATTAAGCGCTTCATTATCAATTTTTGCAAAGAAAAGAATCAGCCTCAACCTGTTCATTTATCACCTTATGTTTTGAGCTGTGCATTTATATGGGTTTGTTTGCTCAAAATTCAACAATTTGTGAATGAGAAAGTGAACAAGAATAACCTTGAAGACCCCACATACTTTGGCTTCATAGCTGGTGGCATAACTAGATTAGACTATCCAGTGCCAAAGACATATTTGGGTAATTGTGTTGGCTTTGGAAGGGCATCAGTGAGAAGAAAAGAGTTACTTGGAGAAGATGGGATTGTTGTTGCAGCAAGAGCAATTGGAAGCACAGTTAAGAAGCTTGATGCATCACTTATTGCTGGGGCTGAAAAATGGATTTTGGATTGGGAGGAGTTGTATGAGTCAGAGCAGCATGTGCATGCTACCTGGTCTCCAAAACTGAAGCTTTATGAATTAGATTTTGGATGGGGAAGGCCCAAGAAAATAGAGGAGATTGCAATTGATTATACAAGAGCTTTTTCACTTGTACAGAGCAGAGGTCTTGAGGGTGGATTCGAGATAGGTTTGGCTTTAACTAAGCGCAAGATGGATACTTTCTCCATGTTCTTCACTGAAGGACTTAGTGCCCTTCCATGAATCCTCTTTTCATGTTTGTTGAAAAAAAATGTATTATTTTATGTCAACTAAATTTGAATCGTTGCAACAGCTGATGTCGTTTCCATATATAAATTATTGATATTTTCAAAAAATTCATTGTATCAATAATTTAATAAATATATTAATTTTAAAGTCTAACGCTGAGGAGAAATGACAAGTTAAATATATTAATTTACACACAAATTTACAGTTTAAAGTTTTGGGTTCAATTGTAAAATCATTTTTTTTATATAATTATTGTATTCTTTCACTTTTACTTTTCGGGAAAAAAATTATCTTCCTATTTTATGGGAAATTACTGACCTCACAATAACTCCCACACAAAGATAATTATTTTGTTACAGTGGTAATGTATAATTTTTTATTATAATGATTACATGTTAACATTTTTAATTTAGAGATAATAATAGAATAGTTCTTCAGGTTAATATAATATATTTATTTAAATGCTATGTATATAATAATATTAAAAAAAATAAAAGTATCAATTTTATTACCAATAAACTCATTTGCGAATTATAAAAAACTTTTTTTTTCAAATTAAATTATTATGATTTCGTTAATCCACTTATCTCTCTTCTTGTCTCAACCTCTGCCGTAATTGATTTTACACATCCAATTTTGAGGGGAATTCATTTTCTAAAATTTTCTGCTCCATGTTTTTTTTTTCATTTTCTTTTTATTAATAGGGATTAATAAGTCATTGCTCGACTATCAAATTACAAGTTGAAGGTTGCATGTAATGATTTTATTATTTTAATTTTCCAAATAACAATGTTGTCCCACTTGTTATTCTTGAAACTAAGATGAAAAATCCGCATGGCATGTACAAAAGCGAAAGAGGAGTAAGGGAAAGGAAATATATATATATATATATATATATATATATATATATATATATATATATATAAATAATATTTGTATATATACATATACATAAAAAAACTAATTAAGAAAATAATCACAATAAATCGAGTTAAGATTGATATCAGGTGTTAAATAAGGAAAATATCTAACAGTTTTTAAAAGTTAGAAATGTATGTTGACTATGTCCAACGAGCATAAATTATTAGTTAAGAGCGAGATTAGGTGTTAAATAAGAAAAAAATTTAAAAGTTTTCGTAAGTTAGAAATGTATGTTGAGTATGCCCCACTTAGAACATAAATCAGTGAAGCGAGCTAGTAGAAGAGTTTACTAATTCATTATGTAATTTTTCTTTGACGATATTTTAAATATGTTTTGTACGTTCATAAAAGATTAGATTGAAGACAGTTAATACTATTTTAAAAAATCAAAATCACTGACTTTAAATAATCAAATATGTTTTATATTTAATATGATATAAAATCAATAATATATAAAGTACAGAACTTCTTTCTTGTACGGGAAGTATTCGTACAATAATTTCACTACCTCAATTTTCTTTATAATTTTAGGTTTTACAAAGCAAGCTTCTATATTGTCGTTGCGATTCCACCGTCACTATTAAAAATTAAAAGATTTGCTTTCGACACATGAATCTTCAAATGCAAGTGTAATTTCTCTTTCCTTTTTTTATGATTGGAAAACGTTGGATGTAGACATTAATTAATGATTGGGTCGGAGATCTTAAAAACAAAAAAAAAGGTTTTTTAGGAAGAAGGGTAGGTGTCGCTGCTATAACTCCAAGAAGGGAGAATGAGTCCATTATTGTGACTTTTAAGCTTTTTGTTTGGATTTAATAGAATTTGAGAGGGTGAATTTGAAGGGAAAGAAGCATAAGAGTGTTCTTGATTAAATTAAGGATCAATTTTGCATGCATTCAAATCAAGTGGACGGATGGGAATTCACTTGCAAGAATTTGCTGAAAAGTCCGTAAATCACAATTATGAATTTTGCGTGAGTGAAACGAGGATAAGAAGTAATTCAATTCTCTTTCCATTTATTTCTTCGTTCTTCTCCTCGTATACATGAACTCAAGATCATCCCTTAAATTTGTCTACGCATTTTTCTTCAAATTGGTGGTACAAACACCAACAATTTACACTCTTCCTTCCACGTCAACAGTACATCTACTACGCTACTATGACTCCGAGGAGAGTGTCCTGGATTTCTCCACAAAACCTTTACTAAGTGAAGGATTTTCTGCTGTATGCGAACGAAAGGCTCTGAATTTTACTTACAATATTAAAAATACCTGCGAATATTCATATATAACCCACGAATTTCAAAAAATTCATAGTTTTTTTAATAATATCCAATAGATAATGGGATATAAATTATTAAATATCAGAAATTAAGAATGATTAAATGGATTAGATTCCACGATTCGATTAATTATCTTGTCCTAAAATGGAATTAACTAGCATCATGCCTGTGGGTTCCATATAAATAAAAAGTAAAGTGGTCACATATTTTGATTTATCCGCATTTTCAATATAATTATTTTTTTATAATTAATGATGATTCTCTTAATTTTCATCGTTTTTGAAAAATCATTTTTATATATTTTAGAATCAATATTAAATATTATTATTGTATAAGTGTAAGTATTTACTTTAATAATTAATATTTGTTTTTTTTATATATATTTTCAGTCAATTATTGAAGTTGGTACCTTTTCTTTTTCTCACGTGGGCCTAAAATTGCGAGGATGAATAAATTGTAGACCAGGAAATACAAGAGTGGTCCAAAATTGTACTTGAAGAAAGTAAAAAAAAAACAAAAATTCAAATAAACCTTTGTCGGAATTTTCTATAGAAGTAGACAATTTTCTTTTTATGGTCAGAATTCGATCATTGCATGCCTAAATTTTATCATCATTCTTCCATCTTCACCCACACAAATCAGGAGACCAGAATTTTGGCTTTTTTCTTTTTTCTAAAAAGAATATTTTTGAGAAAAAAATCTAAAAGAAATTTTCATTTGTTATAAATACTATTTATTTATCAATAATCATTTAAATTAATAAGTAGAAAATTATTATCAATTTAAGTAATTTGATTAAACTCGTAAAATTATTAAAGAAATTATGCTTAAATTTTTGTAAAATATTAATTAATATTTAATTAAAAATTATTATTGTAGATGTAACATTAACGATATAATTTTTTAATTATTTGTAAAATTTGACATTAAAATAACTCTTTTAAATAAAACTGATGTTAATATTAAACTTATATTAATATGACATTTAATTATATTTTTTAATCATGGTATTTAATGTATTAATTTTTAACTGATACATAGTATTATAATTAATAATTTATGATTTCGGTAATAATATTATATATATATATATATATATATATATATATCGTTAAAATTATAGTTTTTAAAAATTAAAAATCATTACAAACAAATTTGTAATAATTAAAATAACCATAAATTCAAATCGATTTCGGAAAAAAAATTAAATACTGGTATTTATGTAAACAAAATTAGTAATTAAAAACTATCACAAAATACATTTTTATTCTTATTTTAATTTAAGATTTTCTAAAATTCTTTTTTTTTTAAATTGTAATAATTAAGAACCACAACTAAATATATAATATTTATAATTATTTAAAACTTATTACAGATTAAAAAAACTATCGTTTTATTATTATTTTTTAATTATTTTATTAATGAATTACAATTTCAACTATTATTTATCAATTATATTTTATAAATTTTATAATTAGTAATTAAAATAACTATTTTTATTTAGAATTATTTTAAAACATTATAATAATTGTAATAATAAGTTTATCACTATAATAAAGGGAATTCATTTAAATAAAATTAAATATGTGATTGGAAAACAAATTTTAAACATGTATATTCTTCACTAATTTTAGTTATCTAATTAGTAATTATAATTAACTAAGTAATAGTTTATCTAACATATACTCAATGGTAGAGTAAAAAAGAAGCTAGAGTGAGAATATTAGAATACTACATAAATGAAGTTATATTCGAGACAAACAGACAATATTTCAATTAAAGTGGGGTACCAAGATTAATATATACTACATTACATGAATTTTCACAAAGCTCCAAAACTATATTTGCTTTTAATTAATACCTTTATACATAGAGAGTCACGTGAATAATAGTACAAAAGTCAAACTTACAAACAAATAACCTATGTAAACAAATAAAGAGAAGAATCCAATAGCATATTCTAAAGTATCTTCCTCCAATAGAAAATAAAACACATGCATAAATAATCACAAAATATTGTTCAAGATCATTCGAGATATTTTGGTATATGAAGGAAGATGATAAAGAGATTCAACATTACAATTAGACAAAATGTGAATTCCAAATCAACTTACAAAATCTCTCATATATTTATATTATTCTCACTCACTCTCTCACATAAATAATCAATATCTCTCTTCTTAATACTACCGTTCAAAAATGCTCTTTCACCCCTATTCACTCTGGCTCCCAAAACTTCATTCACAAGGAAGCAAAATCCTAAACAAGTGACTCATATATGAAATTGGAAAATTAAAAACGTAAACCCTAAATTAAATCTTAAGAAGAAAAATAAATCAAAGTGTTACCTCTATTCAAGGAGGAGTTTCAATTATATTCACAAGTATCAACTTTAAATGAGAATCCTAAAAAGAAACTTTGAGTAAAAAACTTAGAATAAAAAAACCCATTTATTGTAATAAAGTAGAATACAAATTTTAAAATTTATTTAAAAAATATTATAAATCTTAAATAATAATTTAATTTAAACTAATTTTAAAATTAAAAATTGTAGCAATTAAAATTTCTGGTCACAATAATATAATTTGTAGCATTTCATTAAAATCACTAAAAATAAACCTTCACAAATTAACTATTTTTTAACATGAATATATATATATATATATATATATATATATTAAAATATTATTTTAATTTATGAACTCAACATTGTTATTAGTTTTAAACAATTGATTTTTAAAAAGTTCTTAAAATGATATAATATATATATATATATATATATATATATAACTTTTATTTTAAAATAGTTATTTTTGAAAATGCTAAATATATTAATATGATAAAATTTCGTCTTTTAAAATGTATACAAATTTCAATTTAATTTTATAATTTTAATAAATTAAAATAAAATTATTAAAATAATTTCAATTTTCACACAGTCATTTCATTAATAAGTTTACATATTATTAAAATGCAATTTAATCTCTTTATATTATAATAAAATACAAATTAGTCAAAAACTAAATTATATAATAATATTATTATTATTATTATTATTTATTAGAAGTTTCTTCAAAACGCAAACGAATATAAAGTATGAAAGTTACTGTCAAATACTATTTATTTATCAATACTCAAGTATTACATAGAAAAAAGTGTACATTTTACAAGGTCAAAAAGACAATTAATTAAACTTATTAAAGACAAATAAAATTCCATATAGTAAATTTAGTTCAACAAACACACTTTAAATACAAAGAAAAAAAGGTTACAAGGTATAGAAAATTGAAAGTAACCTAATTCAAATTTGATTCGAGTCACGAGGATATGAATAGATATAGACAACGAAAGTAAAATTTGCACACTTATCATGAACCAAATCTTTAATAAATACGACCCTATTCTATTTTTATCTTTAAACTTAGGGTCTAATTCTATTTCTAAATTAAGGTATTTTATTTTTAAATAAGTAATTAATTAGTGAGATATATATTTTATTTTTATTTTGTATCAAATTCAGTGATTGGTGCTGTCATTGCAAAAAGTCATATACATAGAAATGACAGGTACTTGATGTAAAACCAACAAATTTGAAATCACTTTACAAGTATATGCTCATATAATTATTGTTGAAAATATGCAAGAAACTGCATCTGAGGAAATTATAGGAATGAAAACATATAAATATATTAATCCGAGGGAATGAAGATATATTTAACCCTAAACTGAATAGAAAATGTAAGGAATGAAAATTTTAACCCATGACAATAAAACCCTGCTTTCACAGTAAAATCCGTAAGGCATGCAAATTGATAAAAATAAAACAAAACCCTGCTTCACCGTAACAAAAATCACAACACAAGCTTGAAACTGTGTTTTAAAAACCTAAATGTATCGGGCTGTTATCAGGCGTCAGTGGGTGGAAGCTCTTTGTCCAAGGCTTCGGCGGAGAAATCTCCAGGCTGTGGAACTTGCTGATGAGGCATTCCTTTTGGTTTTTCACTGCTGTTCTTCCCCTCTTTCTTCTTCATCTCTTGGTTGCTTCTGTTATCCACCACTCTTCCTGGCTCATCGTCATCAACTACACCTTTCACCTCTTTATGTGCGCATGACTTCGATGGCTTCTCCATCTTCTTGTTCCTATTATGAACCACCTCAAGTTGAAGGCAATAATGTATGTTATCGATCCATTTTCCAGAAAGCAAATAAAAAACCAAAGTCTTTTATTACTCTTTCTTTTAATTTGGCTGTTGCTTACGTGTGCTTACACGTGGCCCCCAGCATGAACTCAATCACGAATGTGCTTGCACGTGGATCCACCTAAATTATATATATATAAGTTTTTCAAGAAAGAAACAAAAAATAAAAATATTATAAAATTATTATTATAATTTATATATTTAAAATTTAAAAATATTAAAACAAACAGCTAATTATACAAAAAATATGATCATAAACCACACTCTATTTCCACTTCTGCTTATTAATTTCTTGCCATGTTTTTTAAGTTATTTAGAATTGGTTGCTCAACCAGTCCCATATGTACTATTTAAAATAATTTAAGATAAAATTGATTTTAAAAAATAGTTAATCATAATTAAATATAAAGTATATCATTTGTTAAATTTATAATTTAATGTAATTATTTATTTTAATATAATTTTTGTTTTAAAGAAAAAATTAGATACAATATAATTATATAAAATTTGTTAAATCTATTATAATATTCGGAATTATTTGAAACGACTTAATGAAATAAAAAATTATCTAATAAAATTATCACAAAATTATTTGTATATTAAAAACAATCAATGTTGTTTATTTTGTATTTTCATATTTATACTAATAAAATAATAATAATAATAATAATAATAATTACTCAATTTTATAATAGATACACATATTTAAAGAAAAGGTACATGTCAATTAGCTAGTTTATATTATAAAAACAAGTTTTAATTAAAAATGACTCTTAGAGAAAATAAATCAATGGAATTTTGATAAAAATAAAAAATTATCATTGGACTTTCAAAATTAATTAAGAAAAGGTTAATATAATTTTAAAAAATATATAAAAAACAGATATAATATATGAATTTAATTTATAAAGGCAAATACATAATGTCATGAGATAAAAAGTGTTGTGTTGTTTTAAATTACAAAATAAAATTCGTAAAAGGAAATTAATTTGCAACAGAGAAGTTAAAACTTTTTGTCAACAATTAAAATTATAAATTATTCAATTAAAACCTGTAAAATTTAATTTAAAAATAATAAAATGTATTAATTTTTTATGATAATAAATAAAATTAAGTTTTTAAAAATTAAAAAAGGTTTGTAAAATTTATTTCATGTATAAAAGATTAACCGTTGTGAAAGAATCATAAATTTTCCTTCTAAATAATATAAATTAATAATAATTATACGACTACTTTCAATTATTAGCTCTATATTATAGAGCAGTTATTAACCAATTTAAATATATAAAAGTAGGGAATAAAATAATTTTTTTAAAATATATAATAATAATTTAAAAGAAATTATATATATATATATATATTATAACATAATTATCAACTAATTCATATACAAAATTAGAGAATAAAATAATTTTTTTAAATATTTAATAATAATTTTAACAGAATAATATATATATATATATATAATTTCACTTTACAATGATTGTTTTATATGATTTTTGTTCTGGACGGTTAAGATATTTAAGATAAAGTAATTATCTTTTAGTATTTATTATTAAAGGTGAATTTCATTTCAATACTTGTGTACCATTTAACAACATTCATTAATTGGAAAGGTCTTATTTGTCAGCAGATTCATGCAATAATGTGAATGACTTTGGATTTTTGTTCTTGACAGTACAAAACTGAATCATTGATCACGGGATCACTTATTAGGCCTGAGAATCTGTAGGATTGTTGGGTGTGGGTTGAATTTTAGATTAAATAGAAATTTAATTTTTAGAATCTATTTGACTATTTTATTTATTGGATTAATTGAATATAGGTTATATTAACTGCGGTTAATTTGGATGAATTATTTGGATTAAATTCAAATTGAGTTTTTTTTTAATATATAACTTTTAATATTTTATTTTATTTGTCTAAATGAATAAACAAAATAGATTAAATCCTTGTATAATATTAATCATTATTTTTATAATATATTATTATTTTATAATTATTACTAAATTAAAAAATAATTCATACCAGAAATAAAACTAAAAAATAATACACAAACTAAATTTATATAAAATTATAAAATTAAGCAATTTAATATAATTTTTAATATTTCTACATAAAAAATAAATTTAATAGAGAATCAAGTGGTATAGCAAAAAAATATATATATGATTTTTTTTACATATTTTAAAAGTCTTCAAATTCAGAATAAAATTAATTTTTATAAATGATTAATCATGAAACATGGATAAAATACAAATATTTTAGAGAAAGATATTGTAAAATATAAATGTAATTCCCAGTTAATTGCTCTTTTTAAAGATTTACCAACTAAAAAAATTAATGAGCTTATGTGGTATAAAAAATAGAAGTTCATAATTTGATTTTACAGGGAAGAAATACTAACAAGATAATGAAATATTATAATAAGATTATTATTCACTTAAATTAAATATCTAATATTTTAACATATAAGAAAGTAAAGAATCTTTATTTAAATAATTTAAATTAAGATGGAGTTACACGTATTATCATAAATAATTAATAAAAATTATTTATATAATTAAAAATTGTTGATTAGAAATACGGAAAAAATTATAAAGAAAACAAATGAAAAAAAAAACGTTTGAAGAGTGCTTTTATGGACAATTTTGGAAAGTTATATTTTAACCATATGAAATATATTTTTGAGAAGTATCTGAATGTTGTTGTATGGAACTACTTCAAAAGATACATAGGATAAAAGTATCTTATATGAACAAATAATTTTACTAGAAAAAATTATAGAAAATTGGTAGAAATGATTTAGAGGACAACTAAAATGGATTGTTTAGACTATGTACTTCTAGTTTTGGATAAAAAGGTATGTTTGGTTACAAAAATAATAGAAATGGTAGTGCAAGTAGAGATTTTGCAGAGTATAATAGCAAAAAGCGTTAAAATACCCGTGTCCATGTATGATCTGAAACAAATTGGACCTTTATTGGGCCCAAATAGATTGGAGGTTCTCCTACAACATGTGTTTTTATTGAGCCTCCATAATTTGTCTGTTTAGAATGCATTCTCTTTTCTTCACATGAAAAAAAAAATAGCACCTGGTTTTGACTTTTTCAGTTTCTAATCGTAAAAAAAGAACGGAGTAAATTGATCCGTCTTATTTAAGATAAATTATAAATATCAAAAATGAGTTGGTGAGTTAGATAGTCAATATAATTTTTTTATAAAAATTTTAATATTTTTTTTTAAAAGTATATTTTTAATATATGAATATTTTTATTTATTAAATTAATAATTTATTAGATAAATTAAAAAATTATTAAATTTGTTTATTAAAATATTTTATTATAATTTATAATTTAAGTTTAATGAATTAATATTTTTTTAAGTTGTAATATTATAATATATTTATATATTTTAATAGAATAATATAAAAATATAACATTTGTAATTTATATATATATATATATATATATATTTTTTTTTAAATAAGTTAATAAGTTGGCGTGTCCCATTTTAATCCACCAAATTAATGGATCAAAACAAAGATGGGTGTCCTACATTAGTTCGTATAAGTTCGTATAAATTGTATATATGTAAGTTTATTTATTTAATTAGTCCTGTTTATATGCAAAATTTAATAACAAAAAATAAATTATTTTCACATGATTTTTTTTAATTTATATTTTCCTATTTTATTTATTTTTGTTATTATTATTTTTATTCCCATTTAGTATATATATTTTTTCTTCCTCTCATATTATTATTTTATTTTCTCACTTTATTTTATTCTTCTAATTAAAAGTACTGTGATAAAATGAATCTTTTATGAAAAAATAAAAATATTTAAATATCCAAAATTACTTTAATTTAATATATTATGTTTTCAAAATATTATATAATAATTTTGGATTATTATAAATATTATTGTTATATTTTAATTATTAAAAAAATTAAATATTTATTTTAATATATTTTTTAAATTGTATAATATAACTAATTATGATAATTCAACCTCTTTATAATTAGATTAAATTATGAAATAAAAGATATATTTAATTCGTAAATATTTAATATTTTTATATAAATAAACAATTGATTTATGAAGATAAAATAATTTTAAATTAATTATTTATTGTCATAATAAATAATACTATTTATTGTCATTATATTTTATATATTTAGTTGGTAATTTTTTAATTTTAATATTAATTTTAAAAAATTTAATTTTAACATGTTTTTATCAAACTAATATAATAATGAAAAAAGAATAAATAAGAGAAGAGAGAAAAAATTATAAAAAGAAAAAATAATAATGAATAAATTAAGAAAAAAATTATAAAAAAAAAGAAAAAAACCTATAAAAAAGAAACATATGTATTTAAACAAATAAATTGTTAAAGATTTTATTTAAATTATTTTTTTAAAATATATTATTTTTAAAACTGATTCTAAATGTGAATTTTTTTAAAATTTGATAAAATATTCCGACTAATCTTTTTTAAAAATTTAGTTAGGTTATTCAACTGCCGTGGGAGGTGCTGGAACAAAGAGGGGTGCAGAGAGCAAATACCAAATGTTATATAAAATGTCACAAACCTGTTTCAAATTTCAAGCATCAGTTTGGAACAACTCTGCTTCCAACCGTTGTTCTGGAATTTTTTCAATCCGCTCTTCTTATTCCCACAACGCCATTCACTGTTTTTGCTTCTTCAATCTCGTTTCCATCTTCCCTAAACTCCACGATCAGAACCCAAGAGCAATTGTTGTGTCCCAACCAGCTTAAGAAACCGCTTCGTCTTGAACCGTTTTCAAATTCGGTTCTGTGGTTCCTAGTTTAGTTCAGTTTTAGCGGCTGAACCCTGAAATTAAACCGGTTGGAGAAGTCTGAGAACATGGCCGAAAGCTCTTTGGCTGCGCCTCCACCACCGAAGCCTGTGGTGGTTAGGGTCAAACGCAAACCTTCTCAATCTCCACTTGATGCTTTCTGTAAGCCCCTATTCCTTTTTCCTCTTTTTTTTTTTTACTGGTCTCATTCGGGTCATCGTGGGCTTAAAGTTTTGTATGTGGTCTTGCCATGGCAATGTAGGGTTGGAAATTAACGAGAGGCCGTTGAAGCGTTCTCTCTTGGATTTTGGGAATTTATCAATCTCTGGTTCTGCTCAAAAGGGTATGTTACTCTTTGTTTGGTTTATGGATTATTTATGTTACATGGTCCACTCTCTTTATATTTTCATGCAAGTAAATATGTCTATTGTAAGTATGAAGAATAGCGTTTGCTGAATGTTTGTCTCCCTATTAATGAGAATTTAATCTATGTATTGGCTTATTTGATGAACTTTTTGATAGTACATGGTATTTCATTACCTAACAGTGGTGCAACCAAAACTCTGGATCAGCTGGGGTAATTTGTTTTAAAATTAATAAATAGTATATATAATTACCGAAGGTCATTGATATTCGATAATTTTGATCGTGAATCGTAATTTTCTATTGAATGGTACAATGAAAAGTTACTTCAAATATATGATACAGTAGATGTATAGTGTTCAACGTAAACAAAATAAACTAAAAATAGATAAAACATTTAGAAGACCGGTAACTAAAAGTTGAATTGCTAAATTGAGTACAAGCTCTTAAGGTTCCAACATAAAACCAATTGTCAATATGTGGAGTTGCCTAACATGTATTTAAACCATACCAAATGACATGAGGTAGGCGATGTGGGACTTTCAACACGCCCCCTCCAACGAAGCCTGCCGGACTAGGCAAAGGGTACTTTTGACCCAACTAAATGACAACTTTTGGCCCATGACAATAACCGGAAAGATGTTAGGCTTTGGCTCTGATACCATGTTAAGGTTCCAACATAAAATCAATTGTCAATATGTGGAGTAGTCTAACATGTATTTAAACCATACCAAATGGCATGAGGTAGGCGATGTGGGACTTTCAACACAAGCATTGAATGAGTTGGTAACAAATGAAGGTGGAATAATCAAATAAGATAAGAATGAATGATTGAATAGTATAGGTGATTAACATTACATAGATTCATTCATGTATTGTAGGATACAAAGTCATTTAAAATTCATCTTGAGATACAAAGGGATAGATAGACAAAATGTAACGAATCATGAGATTCAAGTTGTGAATTGTAAGATTCTAATAACTATAGTATTACCCTATAATATACAGAATAGGGGAGTTAATACATAAATTTATGAGGTGCAAAAAAAGAAAATTTAATATATTTAATAATAAATTTGAAAAATTCAGGGTGTGCAACTGTGTACCCTTAGTTGAGTGTAGGTCTTGTTAGGGGATTCGTTGGGAAGAGACAACATCAATGAGACATTAACTCAACACATAAGGGATTGATATCATTCTCAATCCAAAACCTTAAGGCGCTAGGTTACGGATCTTTCTTTCTTACATATTGTTCAACTTCCTCATTTTTATTCAATGTGAGACTTAAATTCACACTTGGATTTCCTAATAATCTCCCCCTTGAGTGTGATTCTCTTTCATATTGTTACATCATCACCTCGAGTGGAAGCATTTCTAATCATGAGTACCTAGTAATGATCTTACTTGTACCGTCGTTCAACTCAATGAGACTTGCTTGATTGAAACCCTTGTCAGAAATACTTTCGACCCAAGGATTCACAATCTAGGATCTTTAACAACACGAATGAGACATAAGAACAACACACATAAAAAATTGACATCACTCTCAACCCAAAACCTTAAGGCATTGGGTTATGAGTTTCTCTTCTTTGTATGTTGTTCAACTTTCTCTTTCTTATTCAATGTGAGACTTAGACTCACACTTAGATTTTTCAATAGGTCTGCATCTGCCATTGACTAATAATACTTAGATGTGTGAAGTTAGTTAGCTAGCTTTGTTTTCTGGAAGAGAGAAAAATAATGGAAACAACTCATATAATGATGAATTGCACAATTTGTCTGCACCCGCATTAATCAAACAGGTCTAAGAAATCACCTCATGCTCAACTTTGTTATAACCATAATTGCAAGCAATGACTAAAACCTGTTTAATTATCTCCATTTGTGCATTAATCAAATGGGTCTAAGAAATCAGCGTGACACTCACCAGTTATTCATCACCTTGATTAGAATGACTAATTAACCACTCCCATCGCTATTGATTTAGCCCATCCTTTCTGGGGGACATGCTGTCACAAATTCTTTCGAGGCTGATTCTAACTCATTCTCCTTATTGAGCGTGCAATGCCCATCTAATATTGTATAAGTATTTTCCTTCTGGTTTTAAGTGTTACAAACTTGATTTATTTCTTTATAATATTCTTTTGTCCTGTAATATAGATTTCTTTTGCTGAATAATATCTATTTTTGCATTTAAAAATACAAATTTGTCATGATGTAATGCTACCAAATTAAGGATGCCAAATAATTCACATGGAGCAAATATGAACAAGTCTTGCTTGAGTTGAGATGATTAGTGACAAAAAGAAAAGCTAGGAAATAGCTGGAATGTGTTTTGAATTGAATGCGTGTTTAATATTAATGGATCAATCCTAATATGGTTTCTCTCTGCTTTAGTGGAATTTCATAACAAGAAGGTTTTTGTTCAACATGTGGAGACAATAAGCAGCTCTGAGGTCACCTTTGATATCGTGCAATCCTTTGTGGTATGTTGCCCTTCTAGATGGTGGTGATGATTCTTTCTCCTTATGGTATAGAGTAGCATCATGATGTGTGTAGTTTTGGTCTAAGGCTCTCTTGTCTCAGTCACTTTTTTCTCCATTTCCAACATCTTTTATCTCAGTGTATTTAATTGGTCTGGTCAATAGGTCACAATTTTTAATCATCATTGACAAATTGGATATATTTCATTGTATTCAATGGGTCTTGTTAATAGGTGATAATTTTTAATCTTTATTCGTAAACCTGACAGCCCTTATCAATTGACTGCTTCTTCAGGATCCTGGTTCCAGTTGTGCATCAAATTCGAAGCCAAAACTTGAGGAAAGAAAGAACCTCTTCAAAAGAGATAATGTAAGTCTTTTCTTCTCCCCTTCTCTCCCCCCTCTTTCATCTTCTTGTGCATGCTTTAAATCATCAACTAACTGCTCACACTAATTGTACTTTTCTTAACTTCACATTTTTTTATCTTATATTGTCTTTCATTTTTTCTTACTTTAATGTATGCAGAAACAAAATCAGCTATTGGTTAAAGCTAGACAGGAAAAGGAGGTTTGTTACATGGCTTATATTACTCAAATTTATGGATGTGCATATCTTTGAATGCCCATAATGCTCTTTCACAAGGGATGGCAATATTTACTTGATTCTTCAACCTATTGGAAATTGTATTGATGTCCCTTCTCACTTTATACAAGTGCACATGCCCTTGCATAGTTTCTTCTCATGTATCCGTCTGTACTACTTTCATCTTACAACAACCCCCTTTCTGAAATTTTGCATTATGATATGATTGGTTTCAGAACTGTTCCTTTTGTCATTTGTTCTGAAGAATTTCATTTCATTTTATTTTTCTAGTTGATTTTTACCATATTACCTTGATCTTAAACTAAAGAACTTGATGTATAGAACAAGTTTTTGTTCATCTATTTTATGTGTCTTTCAAATTCAGATAAAAATCAATTGAAATTTTATGTATGGTTGTTGGAAATTTTATCAATATGATTATTTATAAGTAAAAAATACGTTGTTTCCTTTATTAAGCAAGGTCTTGGGTTTATATCTTGTGGATGAACATAATGTGGCTAGGAAGGGAGACTCAATTAAAGGTGGTCAAACAAGTTTTCGATGGAGATTAGTTATCAGTAGAATTGGTGAATACTCTGTACCAATAAAATCATTATCCATGAAATAACCTACTGTCTGAGATGATAAGATTAGAGAAGCTAAACTTTTATGCTCATTTGCATATGATTTGGGATAATTCTGTAATTGATTCTCCTGCTTGCTAATAAAGTACATGATTTTTCTATTTTATTTTTATAATTCTTAATTACTTTAGGGTATAAGGCAATCTCCTCATATGTTAAGTATCCTACAATGACTAGGGGAAAAAATAGTCAAGAACTCTTTGAATATGATATGAAAATCCTATAATAATTTTCAGTGTAACTGCAATAACAGCATTCTTGGAATTCTTCCACAAGCATTGGCTCAACTAGACATGAATTCTTTAGCAAGATTGGCAAGTTTCTTACAGCCAGCCAAGATTCAAAATCTTGTCATTTGTTTGTGTTGTATCTGGGTGCATATTCTATATGTTATATATTATCAGTGGCTAGATGTGGTTATTCGATTACTAAATTAGTCAGCGATTAAGCACCTATTTTTAACAACAGTCAGTATATTTTTGTTATCAGTTATGTAATAGAACACCCATGCTATTTCCAATCACACAAATTCTTAAATAGAAAAATAATAAACATGCAGGTTTATTAATAATGGATTCCTTACAAACTTAATTCCCCTCATCCATTCTAAAAACCTGTCTTTGCTGTATGCCCCTTCCCTTCTAACCCCTTTTTCCCTTTCATATTTTGGAAGTACCTCTTCTGTAATAATCTCTCCTCATATGCTGATGTTGCACCAGGATGGAACTATCTGTTCCTTTACAGGGCAGCACCTTACCTCCCTAGAAAAATGAAAATCGCATAGTATCTCTGTTATTTTTACTAGATTCAGTTTTGAATACTTGTTTATAATAGGATTTAGTAATTATTTTTACTTGTTATATAAAATTTTCCCCAAACAGAACTTCTAGTTCCATCCTGGGTTACACCATCTATCTTAAATGACAGGTGGACTAATGTTTATCTCATATTGCTGCTTCTTTAGCTTTTATACCCAGCGTGGTTTACTTTTTGGCATCCTGAATCATCAACTGACCTGTCAGAATTGTGATAAAGAATCTTGTTTGAGATTGAGTGTATTTCCATACATAACATACCTTTTAACAGTTTGAATTTTGTCTGAAATTTTTGTTTGGCAGACAATTTATGAGGTACATGTTTGATTATTATAAACATGGCAATAGATTTTTGTTAGGAGTGCACAGATTTCAATTCTATAATTTGTCAAAAGTAATTGCCTTTGGTGTACAGCACAATTATTAAGATTTCTGTAACAGGTTTTCTTGTGGCAAAATTGTCTCATTTTATTATTTCTTCCAGTCTTTGGCAAAAGATGCTCGCTTTGAACAAATATGGAAAAGCAGGAAGGGAAACAAAGGGACAGCACATGATACAGCATTACAAGAAATATGCAACTTCTATGACATTGTTCGTGTTGACAATGAAGAGAAAAACAAGGAAGTGCAACAGCAGTAAGTATTTCTATCAGAATGTTATTAATGGTGGCAAGCCAAAACTTGGCCATAAAAATATGGCAGAAAGCATTTTGGCCTATGGTGGAAGCATGTCACCTACAATAAAATTATATGCTATGGTAGTTGAATTGAGACACAAATTGAGAATAGGAAGACCCATTTTGTGAATTGTAAGGCTCATTATCAATAATAAAACACACCTCTAAAAAGACATTAACAAACGCATAAAAATCAATACACATATGTTGTCTGACTAAGTGACTTATAAGTTTTAAAATAATTTTTATTTAGCATCCAAATATCTTGATTAGAAAAGATCTTGTTTAAATTTGAACATGAAACTTGATTATAATGAATTTAGATTTTACTTGTTTTTTCTCTAATGGCCCTAAGTCAAAAATTGAGGCTGGGTGGTGTTTGTCTTGGAACTAAAATTTAGAAATTCCTAAAAGAAGTATGCCGTCCTTTAACTGTGAGGGTTGTGGATCATCGTTATTCTTGATCAACAAACAGCAAGTGCAGCTTAAGTGGAACAAAGGCTGTAAATCTGCAGTGCATAACAATTTACCTGTTAGGGCCGCTATTTTTTTTATGGTTTCAAACTTGTCTGTCAGCTGTAATTACAAGATGCATTGTCACCTTTGGATTGCACAGCAAGATTTCATGACCCACTGTCAAAGATTGAGCGAGTAGATAGAGAGTCTTTTTGTAGGGTATCTGAAGTGGTGAGTGGGTCTTGTATTATTTAGGGTTCCAAACCACTTATGGATGAAAAGGTTATGTGATGATACGGGTCGGGTCAAGTGGACCTGTCTTTTTTCTGTTTTTGTTTTCCACCATAACCATCACTTTTGCATGGTTACCTTGAGAATGGCGCTGCCAGGCTCAACATATAAATCTGTTAGGAGTTCCACATTGAGTAAGATGAGCTAGTTGATGTGGTATATAAGCCTTGAGGCCATCCCACCTAATAGAATGGTCTTTTGGGTTCGGTTCTCCTCTTTTGCTTAATTCCTAACAATTGTTGCATTCGTTGAGAGTTGGGCTATGGATTTAATGTGCATACCGAATATTGATGGATGAGCGAAGATGTTTAAGAGAAAAGCGCTGCCACCGGGTCAGTGTTAATGTGGTATTTAAGCCCCACTTAATATAGTCTTTTGGGTTGAAAGTCCCTACAGAAACACAACCATGACCTGGCTTTTGTATGATGTCTTACTTGAATTTTTTCCTTGCCATACTGCGTGACAGCCATTTAACAAAACTGTTCTATCAGAATTTTTGTTTTCCTATGTTTGGACAGTTATCACTGAAAACATTTCATGTGATTAATGCAGAGAATTCTCTTTGGAGGATCAAAGACTTCTGTCTAGTTACCTTCCTTTACTGAGAGAATTTATTCCTAATGCGGCTGCAGAGGTTGAAGCTGATTTGATTGTTCAGTTGGTTGGTCATCCTAGAGAAGGTGGTTATTTAGTTGATAATTACACCATTAAAATGTTACTGGTCCTGCTTTTTTTTCCTAACGCGCACGTATTTTATTCAAATAACTGAAAAATGAGTGGAGGCAAACACATTTTCTTATTCTTGTTGATTATAGAAATAATATATTTGAGTTATCATGTGACATTTAATCGATGTTGGCGACACTTAAAGTAATTGCTTTGTATGTGGTATTTGCTAACCCTTTTTCTTGTTTAAATGGTTTTAATTTAATTGGTCCTGGTCATTTACTTTTGTGACGTACACCAGAGAAATATGTATACGACCTCTACACTGTGACGGATGAGATTGATATAAACACAGACGATACTTCAGCTTCTTATCCACTGTGAGTATTTTGTCATTATGTTCAATTAGCTTTCTTTCTTTTCATGCTTTTTGACACTGTCGTTTATCTTTGGCTCAGTGTTCAAGTTGAGGAGGAGGAGGACTATTATGATGGCCCAGATGATGATTCAGATTATGAATCTGATGACTCAAATGGTATTCTCTAGTCTATCTTTTCATATCATTACCCTTTAATGCGAAGTCTCTAACGGTTAAACAATTCATTGTTATTGTGGGTTATAGCTGAAAATAATCCTTTGAATGATTATCCGGAGGAGATTTCTGAAGAGGATGAAGAAGTTGAAGATTCCAAAAATGAATTAGAAATTGAATACAGCGATACGAGTAACGAAACATCAGGCGAGGATATAGAATATCATGGTTTTTCCAAAGATGATGCTGATCAATATGATGAGGATTTAGATGAGTATGAAGGTGTTGGTAATTGTGATGAGGATGTTGATGATGAAGATTGGAGGTGGTCGTATCGATGAAGTTGGCTTAGTTTTATTTTGCACAATGTTACATCTAACAGTTTCTTGCTGATATTACAAAATTACATTTACATTCTGATTTCATTATGTTTCTATTACATACCCGCTGTTTTTCTATTTATATTGTGCTTTGGTAAAGGTTTTTATGTCATATCAATATATTTCATATGCCTTTAGATTTTATATACCTTTTAGATTTTGTAGAAAAGGTTTGGATCAGCATTAAGTCTCTCCTAAGAGCTTCTCTACTTCATGTAAAAGTGGTGTTTGAATATATAACATTTAATAACTTGCTCTTACGGCTTATGGAATCTGTCGCTAGGACTTGTAATTAAAGTTAACTTTTGAAGTCTCCAATTTCAGCTTTAAGCAGAGCTGCACATGTAAAATAAGTAGGAAAAAATATCCACGATAAACTTTTAGAATGACAAAGGTGTCCCATTGTATTTAAAATAAAAATAAAAATCAGATTTTATACTTTATATTTTGAGAATTATAAAAAAACAATTTTTAAATTTGATTGACTAAAATATTTTTTATTTCATATTTTAAGACTAAAAACATATTTCTAAATATGGGAGACTAAAACAATATATATATATAGTAATTTAATAATAAAAAGTATTTTGTCTTTTTTTTTTAGTTATATATATATATATATATATATATATATATATATATATATATATATATATATATATATATATATATATATATATATAATCCAAACACTAACTTATTTTGTCTAAAGAAATTTTTTACATTAAAATTTTGAGATAATTCTTATTCATCAAATGTATTATTATTTTTTTTTTCCTATTTCTGTAACTATAAGGGAGAAGATAACAAAAATATAGTAAATGAAAGAAAAACTTGATCACTTTTTCCTATATAAGTAATATTAGACTCCGAAAATATAACTCACAAATAAATATATGCACTAAATTTAGAAAGATAAGAAATTAACAAATATCAAATTTTAGAGTGGAAAAACTATAAAAAAGCCCATGTGATTTCTAGGGATGATAATTAAATTCATACTCGTGGAAACCGATCCGTCTCGTCCCAAGTTTGATTGGAAAAAATCGAGTTGACCTAAGATGGGGGCGGATTCGGGTTTTCTCTGCTTTAAAAAGTGGGGGAGGGGGGTGGAGATGGATAATGCAATCCCCACCTTGGTCTCATTCCTACCCCGATTTTATATTTTAATTTTAATTTTAAAATATTAATAATTTAAAAATATTTCTTTTTCTTTTTTTATTACATATAATGTCATTTTTTTTATTTCACCATTTTTACTTTCTTTTTTACCCACTTTTAATTCTTTTATCTTTTTTAATCTTTTTATATCAATTAGTTTTTACATTATTCTCTTTCTCTTACCTTCTAATTTTTCACATTTCCTTAATCTCTTTAATAAATTTTTTTTTCAATCTTTTCAACCAATTTGATGAACACAAAGTTAACTTTTTTTTCTTCTTTATCTTTTTCTAAGTATTTTACATAAATAGTAATAGTAAATAATATTATTTTATTTATAATTTATATTTATTAGGTTTTATTATGTCATATTTTTTGGATCTTATTATTTTTATTTGTCATATATCAAATTTTATCTTAATAAAATAATTATAGTTTAAAGAATTAAAAATAATTGATAATTTAAAGTTTTATTACTTCGAACTAATTAAATAAGAATTAAATTATTAAATATTTCCTTATAAAATATATATTTCATATTTTTAAATGATAACTTAAATATAAATTAATTTGTATATGTAATCAAATGTTTGAATATATAATAATAATAATAATAATGTTATAAATATTCTATATATGTATAAATAAAAAATAATTAAATATTTATTTTATATACACATTTTAATATAAATATATTAAATTAAAAAATATATTTAATTAATAATAATTATAAATTGTAAAATTATAAATATTTATTTATGTATAAAAAATACATAAAAATAGTAAAACTAATTTATTATAAATATAAATATTTTTTAAAAAATAATATAGATCGGGGACGGGGCATGGGTGGAGAAACCCGAAATCTAACGGAGATAGGGATGATGACTTAATTTCTAATTTTGGTGAGAATAGAGGGTGGAGATGGTTAAAATAGTCAAGGGCGGGGATCAGGGAGGCAAAACCCGCCCCCTCATGTCCCTCTTTGGTTCTGATTTGATTATATCTACTCTTCAGATCAATTTTGGAAAACACAGAAGTTCCATGTAACTCATCTAGCAAGTCATTCAGCCTCAGGATTGGGTGCCTATACTTAACAAATATATTATTGATTGCCCTACAACCCGTGCACATCTGCCAACTCTCACCCTTTTTTGGGACGAGAATTACTGACATTGCACAGGGACTCATGCTATCTTGGACTCAACCCTTATCTTTTAATTTCTCGACTTGGCTTTGGATCTCTTTAGATTCTTATAAGTTTGCCCTATAAGCCGGTTGGTTAGGAATGGATGAATCAGGTAAGAAGTCTATTTGATGTTCGATTCCCCTTTGAGGTGGAAACCTCTTAGGAGGTTCTTGAAAAACATCATGAAATTTATCCATTACTAACTCTAGACTTTTGGGCAAACTTGGAGATGATTCATGAAATGTAGGGGAAGAATCTAAAGGATATGCTAAGGATAGGGATTTATAAGCTAAAAGTACTTTCTTAATCCCCTTGTGAGAGATCATGATGCCCTTCGTCTTGGAGGTTGACCCCTTCTCTCTTTTTTCTCTCTCTTTTTCTTTTTCTTCTTTTCTCTTTTGTTGAATTTTTTGTTGGTCCTCACTAACCACCTGTTGTGGGGGTAGTGGTTTCAGTGTAATCTTATGCCCTTGGATGTTAAAAGAAAATGTGTTGGTATAGCCATCATGAAAAGTTTGTTTGTCAAATTGTATGACCTACCTAGTAAAATATGTGAAACTTCCATAGGCACAACATCACAAAGAACCTCATCCTTGTATTTTCCTATCGTAAAGCTAACGAGGATTTGTTTATTTACCTCAATCTCACCTTCCTCACTAAGTCAAGAAAGTTTGTAAGGCTTGATATGAGAAGTAGTAGGTAGACCAAGCTTGTCTACTACCCTTGTGCTAGCCACGTACACACAACTTCATTCATTAATGATTAGTGAACACAACTTGTTATTAATGAAGCAGCGAATATGAAAAATATTTTCTCTTTGGAAAATGTTAAAGTCCTTTTGGATTTGTCCTAACATCCACCTCACTATTAACAAATCAGTTTCACAAGGCTTAATCTTTTCATCGCTAGAGGAAAAGTGCTTAGAGGAATTCTCTCTAGATGGGGAGAGGGGAGAAGAATACTCACTCTCGATGTCTTCACTTGCGCTCAAAATCATAGTTCTTTTGGTAAGACAATTTGAAGCAATGTGCTTATACTAAAGACATTTGAAACATTTTATAGAACTAGTGCTTTGAGGCGCGAAGATGTTAGGAGTGGTGTTCCTTGAAGAGTTGCCCTTAGAGGGCACCTCTGGGAGAGCTTTAGAAGAGTTTCAATCTTGTTTTTCCTTTTCCTTTCCCTTGTCCTTCCAATTTGAATTGTAGTAGTCATTATGCAAATAAATCTTTTTAGCCCCATCTTTGCTTTTCAATTGAGCTTCGATTTTCAAGGAAATATGTAAAACGTTTTCAATTAAGGACTATTCGTATAATTTTACTAAGTCCTGGATGTCTCTTATAAGATCACTAACAAACCTAGCTACCTTAGTCTCATTAGTTTCATCATGCATACCGGCCCTAAGTAGCAAAGATTCTAGCATCTTGAAATAATTATTCACACACATATTACCCTGTTGAAGTCGTTGGAGCTTCAACAGGAGCTCCCTCCTATAATAGGAAGGAACTAATCTAGCGCGCATTAAATGCTTAATGTCCATCCAAGAAGCTGCGGGTGACCCTTGGTAATTATCGTTACAAACCTTATACCATCAAGTCATGACATATCCCTCAAAGTCCACTACAACTAAATATACTTGTTCTTGGTCCCCTATTGAGTTTACATTAAATATTTGGTCCACTTTAGCCTCCCAGTCTAGGTAGACTTCTGGATCATTATCCCCGTAGAACTTGGGTATCTTGATGTTGTTCCTTCTTGGAGTGTTGGTGCGCCTAGATGGCCTCCTTCCATGGTATCTCCTATCTTTTTCTTTTTTAGAACTTGATGAGTATGAATGTCTTCTCTCTCTTTTGGACTTCTTTGCTTCAAGTTTTTGGATTGTCTCCCTCAAATGCCTTTCACTTTCCTTCCGGGACAATTCCATTTCTCTAATTAATTCCACTAGAGTGTGTTCCGCTGGGCCTTTTATCTATCCTTCATTAGATGCCCCCACATTACTTGTCTTCTCTAATGAGAAATTTGACATGTCTGCAAAACAAGTTAAACTAACATAAAGCACGAAAGACAAAATGTTAAAATGTAAATCAAGTCACTCAAGTGTTTGGCTCCTCACACAAGTTTGATTAGTAGGATCACTCCACTCTTCAAGTAGAAAAATTTCTAAATGTTGCAAAATTCTCTTTTAAAGTCTTAAAAACTTCTCTTGAAAAATGACAATCAAATGGAAAGATGTACGCCAACCAAAACACTAAGAGTTCAAAAAAAAAACTTTCAAAGACAAAACTTAAAGAAACCTAAGATAATAAGAAAAACGCAAAAAATAAGAAAGGTATACTAAGAGTGGATTTTTTTTTTCTTACAAAACTTTGAACAAAACTAAAGCAAGAAAAGCTGAAAAGAAATTTGAGAAACACATAAACATGCAATCAAAAATTTTAACCAAGCACACACATAAAGAAGACTAAGATTCCTATAATGTTAGAATTAATTAGCCAAAATGTAGTCATGCAACCAAGTATTATGACAATTTCTAGAATCAAATCTTTTAAGTGTAGAATTTTTTTTCCTTTTTTTTGTAGCAATAAGGTTTTAGCCAAAGTAATTTTGTGTAAAGTTTTTTTTTGTTCTAACTTGATTCTAGACTTGCCAAAAGTTGTTTAAAGTTACTGGGAAAATTTTGATCACTTAGTCCCTATGTTTAGGATTCTAGATCAATTCATCATGCATGGACTTAACTAATTAATTCATCATGCAATTTCAAGTGTTGGAAGCCAATAAAAGAAAACTTCAACCAGAGGTACTAGACATATAACTCAAAAGAAAAGGTTAGGCACATTTAGAAAGACAATAAACTTAGAAGAATATGTAACTTAATCAAGTGCATAATTTTTTTTTGGCTAGGCATTTTATCAAACATCATATATGCCATGAAATGAAACTTAGGTAAGTATAGTATTGGACCAACCTCACGCCCAAACTTTTGAGTGCAGCACCACAAATCAAATGACCACACAAAACCACAACTTAGACCACAAAATACAAGCTACAAAAAGAATGGAGTCAAAGTAACAACAAAAATAACTTATTAGTAACAACCTAAGTTCTGAATACCAAATGATGTAAAATAAAGTAAGGTGCAGAATTTTAAGCAATAAAGTAAGCAAACCCAAGGAAAATTCCCACTAGACATTATGATAGTTGTCTATCTAGATGTGAAGGTTTTATTTCCAAGGATTATGGAGGGAGAAGGAGATGAAATGAAATTAGAAAAGAATAAAGATAAGGGCGGGAAAAAATGGACAAGCCCCTTGAATTAATAAATGGAGAGAAAATGAAGAAAAGAGAAGTATGGTGGTGGTGGAGTGTTGACACGCCACTAGGGGATTAGCTACCCTAGATAAGTGGTGGTTGCCGCCACATGAACCAAGGTTCAAGATAAGACACTCAAAGAGATGAAACACTCAAAGAAATCTCACAAACTTATCATAAATGTTCAATCTAATTACATGAGGGAAAACATTATATTTATAGGCTTTTGGGAAAGGGACCTAGATGAAATTACAAAATGAGACATAAACTTAACCTAAACCTAAAGGCTAATAATAGTCCTCATTACCCAAATATGTTAAATTCGTCCTAGCCCACCAAAAATGTCTCTAAGGGTATGGAGAACATAAAAAAATATGTGTGCTTTCTTTTGGGTTGTCCCAAGTCTACCAATCCCGCATCCCAAGCTTCTTCCTCTCCAAAATGGGGTGTAGGACATGAAAAAATGAATATCTTACACGTTTAGGCAGCCCATACAACTATCTTATATGTCCAAGCCTTTTTTTCCACCTAAAAGAGGTGGCGGTCTTAAAAAAGGAGGTATATAAAGTGGTCCTACAAAAAAATGCGAACCCGAGTCTCTAAAATTTAAGAAAATAAATGCTAAGAAAACTCAAAGTGGAGGGTGAGAAAGAGGTCTCCATTTTAGTCATGCTCCTAGTGATCCTCAAAGGGATGACCTCTCCGGTCTCCGAGGCATCTAGGGACTCATCACCTTTTATAAGAACTAATAGTAGAGATTTGTATTTGAGGACAAATCTTTCCTAAGAGGGAGGGTCTGATGGTGGACCACGGTTGAAGACATATAGGGTCCCTACTAGAGCCATGACTAGGAAGATAGAAGAGGAGGAAGCTTTCTCAAGAACCCACCTCCTTTGAAGCCTTTCATATTAAATCTTCTTTTCCCCTTAGCCTTGTATAAAATTGTAAAAACCTTTTTTTCTCTTTTGTATGACACACTTGGCCGAAAGCCTTCAATGGAGTTGTAGCTACAAGCCACATATTAACACTTTAAGGACACCAGACAAGAGAAGACCACAATCAAATCTTCACTCAATCTGCTTGGTTTCACATTATGGAGACTCCCTTGTAGATAAACACTTGGAACATATCTATCCCAAGGTATGTGGAACTTGGAGGGTGTGAAACTTAAAAAAGAAAAGCATGGGTCAACACTTGACTTGCACAAAAAGGAGCCATACCTTTTGTTCTCATTTTCTCGGCCAAATAGGAGATACATCTAAATTAGGAGGTCCAAGCTTCAATTCTTGATATTAAGAACATTAGGCTATATAAACTCTTAAATGTAGTTAGAAGAAAGGAATGTGGGACTTAAAACCATTGAGACTGCATTGTTTGACCAACACTTGTATAAGGCCAAATTAGTCTCACATCCTTTAGGAGATTGAGTGTTTGAAAGGGAACAACTATATATATGACCCCTTGTGTAGCTTTTTCAGTACATTTGAATGAAATCAAGCTTACTGTGTGGAAATTGCATTACTTGTCTTCAAGTGTCTTCTTAGGGGTTCTTTCTCCTACTCTCTTATACAAGGAACCTTCATTGGAAGAGCTAATGTTGAGTTTCTTGAGAAACTTGGGGAAGAATTTTGATAATACTTTGGGTGTTTTTGGTGTAGGGTTGACCATGACTCTACTTAGTGGAAGGAGAAATAATTTTCCATCATTTCAAAAAGGCCCAACTATTAAAATGTAATTGACTTGGAGCCACTCTAAAAACAAATAACATCTCACACTCAAAGTCAGTGAAGGGCAACAAAATCTCTAACTCCTTAAATAAACACTCATATACAAAAGTAAAATCCTCTCCATCAATCCTCGTCTTCATTTAAACTCTGTCGAATGAGGTGCACGACTCAATGGTCATTAAATGAGCATAGGATGGCTCACATATATCAAACAATTTATAGAAATCATCTATGGTGGAAATGGATCAGTATGTGAATCTATAATGGTGCGTCTCATTTAACACCCAATAGTACTTAGAGTTAAGGATATGAGTAAATCTATCCTTACACTTAACCTTAACACCCCCACTGGGAGCCTCTACTATGGGTTTTTGCAGACTCTAACCCACCATTGACTTACCCTTGCATTTTCGAGACGCAGCAGCGATAGAAACCACCACCGAAACAACTTCATAGGTCACTTCAAACTCTTCAACACTCACATCTCTAACTCTATCAGAAGATGTGAACCTAATAGAGTGCACCTTTTTGGAAACTAAAGGAGACACTCGATCTGAGGAATCAGTAGAAATAGAAGCAGACATTACCAAAATGAAAGAGGAGGAGTAGCAAGGTGCCTTTGCAAAGACGAAGATGAAACATGAACGGGGTATCATAAAAGTCAAACAGTATACATGAAATTGTAGAGAATACACGAAACAAAGGTTGCAGAGAAACAAGAAAAGACAAATGAAACACACACTTATAAAGATAGTGAAACAAAAAGAAAATGTGTGGGGAGTCAGTTTCTAATAGAAAGAAAATTTTCCCTAATTAATGCACTGTAAGTGAGAAAAAGTAATACACTGAGAACCTAACAAAGGAAAGGAAAAGTGATAATAATATAACGAAAAGGAAAAACAATGAGAATATAAGCTCGTTCGTCCTTATTAATATTACATCTGCAAACATCATATACTCCGAGTTTGAGGAGTTTGTGTACCTAACTGACCCTAAACAGTTGAATACTATAAACTACTAAGGTGCTCAGAAAAAATATCTCAATAGTATCCAAGTATCTTGATAATATCCGAGATACTCAAATACTAATTAATCTTGAGAGACACGAAAACTACCTCAAAATATCCGCTATATGCCTTATAAATAGGGATAAAATATCATATACACCTCGATTAGTTATAGTCACATACTATATAAACATGTTTAGTATTTCCTTTACTTCAGTCAATCATATTCTAATCCTCCTTATTCTCTTTCACTTATTGACTTAAGTACACTTAAGTATCAAATTGCACATGTTCAGCGACTCAATGTTTATACTTGCTTAACTTAACGAAAGGTAGTATCAAAGAGCTTTTTACATGTGTTCACCGAACCGGTTTATACTTACTTGAGTTCATTTGCAGGTGACAACAATAATGATTATTATTAAATTTTAAATTATAAAAATGAAAGATAATTTTTTTTAAAATATATATAATAAGAGGGACTGAAACCGAAGTTTTAGATAAAAAATCCAACATATAAAAATTAATTATTATATAAAAATAAATATATTATATAAAATATTTAATAATATGTTTAACATAACTAATTAAATTTAAATTTTTGAAAAGAATTTATTTCTCGTCTATTATCTCTTCCCTCTTTAAAAAAATAATCTAAAATTTTCTTTTTAAACATTTTTAAAATTCTCATTTCTCATCTATCATTAAACATTAAAATAATTACTAATTAATACCAAATAAAAAATTATATCAATATTCCATAGTTTTATACTGTATTATTATAATTTTTGTACTATAGGAATAAAATCATAAAAAAAAACTTAGTGTGAAAAGCAAAATGAATATCTAATAGAAAAAAATTATGTGGGAAAGTGAATAAGTAAGGAAAAAAATATAAGAGAAAAATGGTGTAAAAAAAATAAATATAATGTATTTATATAAAAAATATTACAGAAATGAATAATATATTCATGTTTAAATTCATGTATTTATAATGTATATATGTAAAGTCCCAAACCCAAAAATAAAATAAAAATTTAGGGTTACAAGTCATTGCCTGTCTGCACCCTTTTCCCCTATCTCTCTGTGCTTAGAGTTGGTAAAGTGATGGAGTCACCACCCAGTAATCACCACGCCGTCGATGGCGATGCCAACGACGTTGGACCCTTTTCCCACCGCAACGACGAAGACGACAAACCCCAACCTCTCACCGGCGACGGCGCCAGTCCCGGGTCGGTAACTTACTCCACCAAACATTCAGCTTCCCTTCATCATCCTCGTCTTAATTGTTTTTTCGAATTTTCTTAGATTGTGTTCTGTCTAATTAGACTGAACCGTTAATTGCAGAAAGATTTTTATTGGCGGTTTAGCGAGAGAAACCACGATTGGTTAGTGGTTACTTTCTTGTTTCTTTGTTTTATGGTTGAGCAATTGCTTAATGAGTATTCCTGTTACTAACCAACTAACCGTGTTAATTTTCTTTATTTTTTTCGTTGATAACTTTGTATAGCACAATTTATCAAACACTTTGGTAAATACGGTGAGATAACGGATTCCGTTATCATGAAGGACCGGAAGACCGGCCAGCCTCGCGGCTTCGGCTTCATAACTTACGCGGATCCCTCTGTGGTTGACACAGTTATTGAGGACACTCACATTATCAACGGCAAACAGGTAATTTTTAATTAACACTTGCATTTAAAGTTTGAACCTTTTGAGTAGTATTGATTAAAGGAAATGAAAGCTGATGCAGTGAATGGTTTGTAGGTCGAGATTAAGCGGACAATACCGAGGGGGGCCGTTGGCTCGAACTCGAAGGACTTCCGAACCAAGAAGATTTTTGTTGGTGGAATTCCTTCTACTGTGACCGAAGGTAGTGTTTTAATTGAGCTAATTTTCCTCCTCTGTGCGCTGTTATATATACATGTATGTAAAATGTTATATGTTGAAAAGTGGTTGTGGTGGTATTATTTAATTTTTATACACCAATAAACTGACACCTACAAGACATGTTTGGTGTTGAAATTCATAGTAGAATGTATCTAAGTTCAAATTTTTACTTTAAGAGTTAAAAGCTCTTAGAATATGTACACTGAAAAAGGTCTTTTACGAGGTTTTGCTACCTTCTCGAAGTAGAACACAATTATTAGTATAAATACCTCGTAGTATTCAAGCTTTCTTTGGTGAGAAAGCTCGTCACTTGCGTGCACATTGTTAATATCTTTTAGGGTGAGAATTTTGTGTTGAAATCTCCAAAGACATAAATCGAAATTTGCTTGGATGTTTTGGGATGTCATGTGTGAACAGGTTGTGTTAAGTTAATTAACAAGGCTTGAATGACGGACTTACCTTTGAACTTTCTTAAAAGCAATTATTGATTTGGAAAGAAACTAGATAACCATAAAAGGGATGAAGAAAGTAGATCTGTAGTGGATTTGACCATTTTAATTAGAGATGCACTTGCGCAGATGAATTTAGGGACTTCTTTACACGCTATGGAGAAGTGAAAGATAACCAAATAATGCGGGACCACTCTACTAATCGTTCGCGTGGCTTTGGGTTTATCACCTATGACTCTGAAGAAGCTGTTGATGATCTCTTAGCTGTGGGGAACAAAATTGAGTTTGCTGGAGCTCAGGTGAGTTATTTAGTCATCCAAAATGAAATTAGAAATTGTATTTGGTTTTATAATTGATTTCCAAATCTTGGGGTTCAAGTTCAGGTTAATTGGAGTGGTTTATTGTTTTATGGACATCTTCAAATTTGTGCTTGCCTTATCTTATGAATCATCATTTACTTATGCCGTGTGCTTAACTGTCACAAAACCAAGGCATTAAACATAATTGATTGCAATGTTGTGTAGGTGATTATTGTAGGGATGGGATGAGCATGGGTTGGGAAATAAATTTAATGCTCATATCCATTGATGAGAATCTATTTGTTTTGTTCCTGACCTGTTCCTATTTAGTATTGAGTTAGAACTTCCAAGTGTTTTAAGTGTAATATAAGGAATTTCCAATGATTTTTCTAGAATTGATTTAGGCCAAGGTGGGTTATATCTCAGTTAAACTGTGGTGGGTCCTCAAAAATGATCAAACGTGAGCGCCCACCACCTCCTTAGTGGAATGAGTTTCCATACGGAGGACCTAACATCTTTTTTTGCATTGATTTTTGGATTGAATAAGTGGGCAGCGCTTTATATTCGTAAGCCTGCTATAATCTTTTATGTGTAGAAAATTACTTTAGAAAAAATGGTATGGGGGACATTGTGTTGATTTTTCCACTCATGACACCTTTTGCATGAGTTGAATCAATTAATCCTGTAGCTTGATCTTATTGGTTACAACATCAAGGGGGCATTTTTTAGGTCTTACTGCTTCATCTACAACCATGGTTTTACGAATCAAGGTCATTGTTAACATTAGACAGAATACATTTTCAATTTACTATCCTGTGAAAGATCAAGATAATTGAACTTTTATCCACTTATTTATTTTTCTTGAATTCTTATCATATAAGGAGCATGGTTATCTTTCCTTTTGTAGGTAGAAATAAAAAAGGCAGAACCAAAGAAGCCAAATCCACCAGCTCCATCTTCCAAGCGCTATAATGACTCCCGGTCTTCATATGGTGGTGGATATGGAGATGCTTATGATGGATTTGGTGGTAATTTTGGTATGGGTGGCTATAGGTCAGGTGGTGCCTATGGTGGTAGGGGAAGTGCTTATGGTGGCTTTGGAAGTGAATTTGGTGGGTATGGAAGATATGCCGGTGCCATGGGGCCTTATAGAGCTGATCCTTCACTTGGATATGCTGGTCGATATGGTGGAGGCTTTGGCAGAGGCTATGATCTTGGTGGGTATGGTGGAGCTAGTGAGGGTTATGGGGCATATGGTGGTGGTGGTTCCTCTGGTAATGCTTATGGAAGCAGCTATGATGCCAGCCTAGGGGCTGGATATGGGGGGGCTGGTGGAGGCTCCTTTTATGGCACTAGAGGGGGATATGGTGGTGCAGGAACTGGTCGATATCATCCGTATGGAAGATAGAAGTTTGTCATCGAAAAATTGTAGTCTAGGACTAATATGTCTAGCATCAAAGCAAGTTTGTTGTGTTTGATTTTTCAGTTCTTTAGGCTACATATTTTCATTTTCTAAAGAAAAGAACTGTTAATGATAATTTCATTGTTAAGTCCCATTAGTTATTAGAAGCCCACACTCGCCAGCTATAGAAGACCAAATTTTTTTTTAGCTCGGCCTATGGGATTTGATGTATGAGCTGCAAATTGTGCAGATGGTTGTATCCTTAGTTTTGTTAATGGCTACATTTGTCATTATTGCTCTTTATTTATTTAATTTTGATACATTTCAGACTCTTAGTAAACGGTCCATACCTCTGTTTGGTTTCACTGTGTTTTTGAAGAGCGTGTATTTTTACACGGTTCACGAGACCAACATATTCTCTGTGCAATCTTTTCATTATTACACTAGTGTCTGACACCATATTTTCTTTATTGGGAAACAAGACAATATGGTATTTCTTTTCTCCTGTTCACATGTTTTTTCACATTGCTAGAAAGTAGCCACATAGCTTATAGAAAGTAGCTAAATCAGTATATGAATCCTTGCAAATTGATGGTTATTTTCATAAGGCTCTACAAGGTTAGTGTCATCTCCACAGCAAATTTTTGGGTCCTTGATGAGCATAGTCTCCTAATAATATCTATCTCAGAGGGTTAATTATGATTGTTGTTCTGACAATAAGCATCTGTTGCCAAGTCTGCTTCTCCAATTGTTTCTGCTTTCATGTTTCTCTTTATTGTTTTCTTAATCTCAGGTCAAGTAACAACTAATTGTTAAGAATGAGATCAAATACAATTAATTGTATTTAATGATATTTTATATTATAAAAATTATAAATGATCATATTTAATTTATATGGTAGATTACTCAACAACATTTTTAATATTATTCATAAATTTTAAATATAATAAGCGAAAATTTATTTTATCATCTATTATCTTTTTTTCTTCAAATAAATTTATAATTTTTTTATACATCTCTAAAATTCAATCTTTTCTTTTTCTGTATATTTTAATATATTAAGAAATTTATAGCAAACAATACACATTAACATGTGTTATAATAGTAAACAAAAATAATAAAAAAAGTCAATTTGCTTACTTTGAATATTGGTATCAAGAAAAATATTATAGAATATCTTCTTTATTTTTTTTTTACTTTTGTTTTTTTGATTTCTAATACTTTATGTATCCATCAAGAAAAAAAAACAATTTTTATACTATAGAGGTGACACGATTGAGAAAAATATAAAAAAATAGAGAAAAACTATAATTTTAAACCATAGCAGACAGAAAGGTAGAAATGTGAAAGTAAACATAGAAGTGTTTGAAGTTAAAGCAGTAAAAATGAAAAGGTGGGAGAGGAAAAGATAAAAATATGAGAGAAAAAAAAAGATAAAAATATGAAAATAAAAATATGAGGGGAATAATTAAAGTGCAGTAATGAAAAAAATGCAAAAGGAAAGATAAAAATGTAAAAATAAAAAATATATAATTGAAAAATTGTAAAAAGGAATAAAAATGAAATATATATATATATATATAAAGAATATTAGGACCATGTCCATATTTTGGATAAAATATTAGAAGTAATATATCATTTTGCAAAATAGGACTTATTTTGAATATTTGAAAATGAGATATTTGATCAAAAGATATGGTATATGGTGGTTCTTTGAAGAAGAAGCTATTATATTTTATTTTATTTTTTTAATCTTTCATATTTTTATTTGTTATATATATATATATATATATATATAAATTTAGGGTACCTAATTTTTATTTTGTAGTCCTATATTGAATGCTCTCAAAATTAGAGTTTAGATCTCGTTCAAAAATACATTTACATACACATGTTTGTATGAATTGTAATTTAATTACATTTGATTTATATAAAGAAAGATGTGTGTGTGAATTGTAGTTTAATTACATTTTATTTAATATAAAGAAAGATTTGGTTATCCATATACTATAATAAACCAAAATTACATATAAAGAAAAGAGAAAGATCTTCAATTTCGTAAAAAATTTTTTCAATATCTAAGAATTGTTTCATCTTCAAACTCTTCATTATGCATGTGTTTTTTCTTTGTCTCTCATCATCTTTTTAGATTTCAGAACAAACATAATTTATAAGCTATTCTTTTCACAAAAGAGGAGTTAACATTTTTATAATTTTACTCGGCAAAATTTTAAAATTTTAGGATATCTAGATTTTACCTTAAATATTTGTTAAACTAAATTGGATTTGCTAAATAAACTCAACTCTAGAACTCGTCTTCTTAAGTTTTTTTTTCTCTTGAGTTAATTTGGAGTCATTAAGCTAATTGGCTACACTAAACTATATGTTTTTTGTTTCCTTTATTCACTTAACAAAATTGAGTTCATTCAATGAAATTGTATTTGATCTTCAATGTTCTTCTCTTTGGTAATTAGCTAGATAAATTGGGATCTCTTGGCAAATTTGCTTGAGTTTGGTTGTTCTTGCAATAAAAAGAACAATGCATCAAAATGGTATCAACCACACTCCTTGTTCTTATATGCTTATGTTAAATATTAAGCAAGTGTACCAAATTGTGCAAGTATCATTTTCCCAAGAATTTGCGCTTGTTTAGACAATGTACACGATTACTAGTTAGGACTGATAATTGTATGAAAATAATTTTGTAGTTTTAGTTCTAATTTATCATAAGGAAAACAAAAAAAATTAAATGTAAAGCACTATTAATTTATAAATAAATTATCACAAGGTTGGATTCCATGAGCTAATTGTATGCATTATTTATTCCAATAAACTCTTTGTTATATTTAAGCATTTATATTGTAAGTATCTTAATTCCAATTTCTTAGAAACAAATTTCTAAACCATTAATAAAATTAATTAATTTGTTAATCCTTTTCACAAACAGTTTGTATTACATTCAAATGTCTCAAAATGACTCAGAATACAATACTATGTTTAACATGGATACTCAAAGTTTTTTAATCTTAAGTTTATAGCTTCAAAATCATTGTCCAATGTATAAAAGCAACATAAGTAGGAATGATCAAAACATGCATGAATAAGTGTTAAGAAGAAACTCATAAACATTTACAAAGATTAATATTGACATAAATAGGTTACAAGGAGTATAGTCCATTACATATATAACCTTAATGAAGTGCGAGATTATAGTAATCATACAAGTACAAAGTTGAGAAGCTTGAGGTTTGAGGCGATCTAGAATGTCTCCTAGTTGCCAACAATACCTCTAGGTCCTTTCTCTAGTTTTAGTACAAAAAGTTACTTTGTTCATACATTTTTCTTCTTTTTAAAAGCATGACCATAAAGTATACTTTGGTTGAACAAGACAAACCTTCACCTGGCAAAAGGAAATACTACGATCATTTCCAAATTCACAATTTTTACTTAGTGAGTTTATCTATTCGCTGAACGATACTATTATGTGGACAACTCTTCCTACACATGCTTCTTGCTAAGCAAATGATCATTTCGCTAGGCAAAATCTTCAATTCCTTAAATCTCTTCTTCCCCTTTTAACTCCCAATCTTTGTGAAAATTTTACGAATTTTGAGTAGTAATATATCTCTTGAATTTTAAATGCACTTAACAAAAATTAAACTTATGTTTAACATAAATTGGAGAAAGTGTGAATATAAGAAAAATGGTTTAGTAAGTAAGTAAAATAAGGTTTTATCACACTTATCAGTTTACTTCTAATGATTTTTACTCAATTAAAGTAAAAACAAGTTTAAGGATGATTTCACTAAAATAACACTAAAATATGCTCACTAAAGAAGTAAAGTACGTCATTTACAATGTTTTGTCAAATACCAAGCATACACATCTTTTGTTCAGATCTATGGCCTAAGTTGAAAAGGGAGATGAAAATTGAGCTTTGAAAATTGTTTTTTAATTAGATGCATGATTTCCCTTTTTTAGGATAGATAATTTTACGGGATGGATTTCTTGCTTTAGAACTCTATGAATCAATGATCAATGTACATTTGATTAATCAAGCATGATGCAAGATGATGTATAATAGCAAGATAAGGAAAAAGAAAAAAGAACATAATATTTATACTAATTCACTCTACCGAAAAAGCTACATTTTGTTGCTCAATCACATTAATCGAGCCAATTCATTATATTTTTATGTTTACACAATCACTCTACAACACAAATGAATAATGATGAAGAACAACCATGATTTAACATCAATAAAATCTCAAGTGAAACACTATAACAATGTAGTCTTGACAAACCTAACTGAGAATACAATCTTGGCAACACTAGCCAAGAAACTATCTCAATAACATTAGCCAAAAAATACTACCACACTCGACCAACAAGGCGACATAAACTATAAATGAAAATTAAAGGGAAAGAAACAAGATCACCTTGAAATTTTGAGGGGCAAGATACAAAGAATGAGACTTGTGAAATTATAAACTATAATGATTAATTCTTTTGAAAAATCTTGAATGAACAAGTAATGATGAAATAAAAGATTAAGCTAAGCAGAAAACACTAAATATCTCTCTTAATTTGATTTGAAAAATGATTTGAAAGTTTTTGAATTGATGTTTAACCAATGCCTTTAGAGAGTATACAATTGTTAATATCTTTAACACATTAAAAAATATTTTAACCCATTAAAATGGTTTCAAGATGTAAGATTTTAATCAATTAATTCATGTTTTTAAAATGTTAAAATCATTAAAGTAATCACTTTAAGTAATTTTAATTGATTAAAATATTGATATGATATATTAAAAAAACACATTTTAAATTAAATCCTACATAAGGAAAATTATCCTATTAAAATGTTCTTTTTTTAATGTCAAAAACAGAATCTTTATTTATGTGAAATTAACATATTAAAATAAAATTTTAATTGATTGATATATTTTTCATGTCAAATACGCTGTACTTATAAGAATATTTTAATAATATTAAAATGTATTAAATTCATTAAAATTCTTGCACACTAATAGAGTGAAAACATTTATACTTAAAACTTAACTTCTCCCCTCCAACCCCAAGATAAGTCAAAGAATGATTACTTACCATATTTTAAACCTAAGAAACATCTTAAGTAAAAGATTAAAACATATGTGTAGCTACATCATCATCAATTCACCAATGTTTGAATCATCAAGTCTATCAACCACTTTTTCATCAAGGTTGAAATCATCAAATTTTTAAAACTCTTTCCTCCATAATCTTCATATATTTTTGTAGGTTGAAATTGAAATTACTTTAATTTTGTCTATTTTATCTTGAATGTTTGATAAGTTTGTTTCAACAATAGACATTGTCTTAGAAAAGAACATGATATATGAAAAATACTTCTATTTACTTAAAGCAACTACTCACTTAGTTCAAAATCAATGAAAGAAAGTTAACGTTCTTATCCATTATTTATTATAAGTAGAAGTTGTCAATAGACATGTCATGGGCTCTTGACCTATTATGGGGAAAGAAGACATGAAACAAGAAGTTTTTGAGATCCTTACACTTTTTATTGATTATTGTTGATTTGCGAAAGACAATTCACACTCTTTCTTCTTTATGTAGAGGTTATCAATATTCATACAATATAATGTACAATATCTTAGATCATATCACACTCCCTCATTATTTTCTCTACAATTTCCTAGAGTATGATCATCTATTTTCCTTAGCAATGAGACTCTTATAATAATGATGTTATGGTTGCTTACCACTCTATGAATAACGTCATACTTTAGCAAAAAACTAAGCTTAAATGAGATAATGTCAAGAATGAATAAACTTGGTACATGGGAATTGTTAGTATAATGTTTTAGATTAATTCAATTTAGCCATCTTCTTCACATCATTATTTTTTTAAGCAAAAAGTATAATAAAGGGTATTAATGAGGGTATTGATGCTTTCTAGTGAAAAGAGCATAAACAATATTTTTCTTCAAGGAAAAAGAAGATTAATAAAAAGAAAATTAGAAAAACTATAAATTTGATATTGTATGACAAGACAAATTTAGGGTTTAGTAGAGATGGAATGTAAGAAATAACTAACATATAATGTAATTTTAAAAAAATACAATAGATATAAGGCATATGTTGTTACATGAGACAACTATTAATTGTCTTTCTAAATTTTACACAATAAAATGTTTCAAATTATAATTTGAAGCTTATTTGTGATAAAAATACTACATAATTTATTTTTTAATTATAATTTATTGTTTCAAATTATAATTTGAAGCTTATTTGTGATAAAAATACTACATAATTTATTTTTTAATTATAATTTATTAAAATTAGTTGTTTGTAAGAAAATTATACAATTGGGCTAAATCATGTTACATAACACATAATTTTAGTATAAATAAGAAGAATTTGTGTTACTAAATACAATTTTAACCTAACAAATGGGTCAATTGGTCAATTTTAACCCAAATAAATTTTTTTAAAAGAAATTATAACATATTTATATAAAAATAATTTATAAAAAATTATATTAATAAAATTAATTTTTATTTTAGATATAATAATTTAATATATAAATTATAAAAGGAATGATACATTCAAATGAAAATTAACTTTCTTTCACCGTAATTTTTTTAGTAATTAAATAATAATTTATCTTAACTATTAAATTAATTAAATAAATAATGAAAATAAATAATAAATTTTTAACTTTTTTTTAATATCTAATTTTTTTCTTAAATTAATTTATAATATATATATATATATAAAATAATATTATTTTTTATTTTAACTTATAATTTTATAAAAGGTGTTGGTTCATAAATTTATGAATTTACTGGCCCTAATTAGATCATAAATTTAATATGTTAAAATAAAAAAATTTCATTTAATTTTAGATGATAATTTTTTTAGATTTTTTGAGTTAATTTATCGAATTAAATATAATGTTACACTTTTAATATTTACTCAGCTTATAAAACCATTTGGATGAGTCTCGTATACCAATGGTTAATGGGTGAAATTGGATGAATCTCACGTACAAGTTTAGTTTAAACACTTTTTTATTTTTTATTATATAATTGTTAAATATATTATAATAAAATGATTGTTAAAAAAAATTATGTTCATATATTTTTATATTTAATTTAAAAATAATAATAATATATTTCTTAAATTATAAAAAATAATTGATTTGTTTATAATAAATATTGTTTTATATTTTAATTTTATAATATATTATATTTTTAAAACTTTTTAATCTAAAAAAAAATTTGCGGTATTTTTTTTTTTTTATGGATTTTAGATTGGTTGAGTTTTACAAACGCATGCTTTAATAAAATCTAACTATTTTTTTGGGAGATTAAAATACATCAAAATCATTTTGAGAAATTAGACATAATCGAGTATGACTGGTGTCCCACCACAAAAAAAATCTGAAAATTTTCTGGCTTTGCTGTTGCCATTTTGCGCGAGGAGAATACAAGAGAAGAGAAAGAAGAGAAGCTAATTGTAGCTCCTACGTACGCGCACCAACATCAGGTCTCAAATGTCAATGGCGTCGTGGAACATGGGTCTCGCTTCATGCCACAAGGTACCGCATTCACTTGCTTTTCGTAGTTCTCATGCTTCTTTCCTTGTTTTATGGTTTTTCACTCCTTTTAGCAGACGATGTCGTTTGAGGTTTCCTGCAGTAGGAAGAGAGACAGAGACAGGGAACGAGCTAGTATCCATCCCTACAAAGTGGTTGAAATAACTCCTCCTCCCAAGTGTCTCGGTGTTCGTTGCTTACCCCCTGTAAGTGCCATTCATTCATTTTTCTCTCTTGATATCAATTCCCAAGCTTCAATTTTCGTAGCTCATCGTTGAAAGTTTAAATTAGAACCCCTTCTTGCAAATTGTGTCAATCTAATGAGTAATGGTTGGTACGTTTGGATGGGTTAGAAGCCAAGGCTTAGGCTGGTCGTCTCTTTGTTTAGGATTTTTTCATTTGAACGAAATAATTTAACTCAACTTTAAAGACATTTATTATTGCATGTCAACAAACTCACCATTAAATAGCACTGTAATATCCTATATTTTCAAATGAATGTGCTTTAAAATTCTGTGCCATTGAAGCAAAACATAGGAAGGACTAAGAATGTTGTTACAAGGTTTTTGTAAAGTGGTGACTCCACAGGACGGTACTTATGATCAAAACCTGAAGCTGTTTCATTGCAGTTTTTACCACGCTAATGATCCTATACTCAACATTCTACTGTTTGGAAATGAGATGAGATTGAAATAAGAGATGTTTTCAGACTTCTGCTGTTGATAAAATTTGAGTGTTTGTGGCCTCCTATGTTCTCAATTTTTTGGAAGTGTTCATATCGTGAACATTACCCAAGAATGGAATCACAGTCTATGGGAACTGAAGCATAGGATAAATTTAGCAATGACCATAGACTCAACTCAACACACCTTTTCTCAGATCTTTAATTTGGATAACTAGTATGACTGTTATGAAAATTTTGGGTTAGATGGGACAGAGAAAAATAGATAACGCTGCTGGATATTATGGTATCTGGTTTTATATACACGATCTGATTATATGATTGATATGTTATAAAACTTTAGCTTAAAGTATCTGTGTTTACTAATAATCCAACATTACTAGCCCCGTATCATAGATAACCATAATATTGTAATAACAATTAAAATGCAACATTTCTTATGAGGAATGTCTTCAGTTCAATAAGCTTAAATAAAAATTTATTACAGAACTTGCATTTATCCAAAGAAACTTTTTGGGCAATATAAAGCTCTTAGGTGCTAGAATTCTCTCCAAGACTTTGGCCATTTGATATGATAGAAAAGCTATGAAGGACATGTGAAAAGGAAGAAATTTGTCAAAGAGGAGCAGATATTTTGCTCTACATATTCTTATTGTACCCAGAATCTGAGGTACACTGTAGAATCAAATACTTTCGATACATTTTTCATATGTATAAGCCATCGTGTAAACCCATACAAGTATAAGAAAGTATATGATGACAATTACATGGCATGGATGAATACAGAGACAATTTTTTTAGCAGGCATGTAAATAGTTATGTTATCTATGACTCAGCATTTAAGTTTTAAACTTTTGCAAAAATTTCTTCGAACTGCTCAAGTTCCTATCTTATCTATGAATTGAACAAAGCCCAATATTCTTTCCTTAGACAAATCTTAACGATAAGGTTTTTACAATTGAAAAGCCTTAACAAGTTAGTAGCTAATTTAAATCGGGCCCCTGTTTCATAAGTTGGCCCGATTGCTGACTGGATTACATCCAAGGATTTCCATTCAAAGTCAGGAAGATTGACATTTATACTAGTTGCAATTTGATGAACTTAGAGTTTTAGGCCGAATGGTTGAATAAACTGTAAATTTTTATTTATAACTTAAAATTTGTTTATATATTCCAATTTTTAAAGTTTCTCACATCTAACTTCTCTGAAAGTTTATTGAACTTGTTATAAATTATTAATTTATCACAGAAACCTAATTTGTTTTATCTTATTTTTTAATTAAAAAATTATCCAATAGTAACATCATTCCCTTTCCTTACTGAGATAACTAGAACTGATATACGCTGTAATTCATGACCAAAATTACTAATTTAAAAGGAAAAACTGGCAATATATTTACTTCTTATGGTGAACCTCTAGCCTGCATATGGCTTGGCACTTCACTTGAATCTCTCTATCTAAAAGAGGTTATTTCTACATTCAAGGATACATTTCCTTGTGAATGGCTACTTTAAAAGCAACATTGAAAAATTTAGCAACGTAGAATTCAAAAATAGAGCTTTAATGGACCCCTCCCATCCCTTTCTAAAACAATTATGCATCCAAGTACATTATTGTGATGGAAACTATTCATTGAAGTAGGAAAACCATTAACGTGTTTGGCTTCTTTGGTAAGCTCCTGCCATTCTTATTGGATCAGAGTTTTACTTCTCTCTCAGAGAGGGTGGGACTGATTTTTAGTGCATTGGAGGATATGTCCCTATGAAAGGGTGCTTTAGAAAGAATGTTGCAAACTCTTGACTTGATTTTCTAAAATTAACCTTTGCAGATTGGAAGAATAAAGTTGTGTATCATATAGGTCTAGTATATATACATTTTATGCTATATGAGAACATGTGCAAGGCAAATACCATCATTTCTAAGATGTCAGGCAGGCATATAATGGAATTGAAGACAAGGCACATGTTGGAGCTCTAAACGTAAAATGATGATGGAATTGTAGTGTATTAATTTTATATGCAAGAGCAGTGCAGTTGTTGTGGTTGCTTGCTTTAGATCTATTGCTCTCCATTTTTTAATGGAAAAATATTATCTGAGATGGCAGATGGGTCCATATGAGAAGAGAAATTGAAGCGGGGTGTTTGGTTAACTAGCTGTGATTGTTCATTGCCTTTATTTATGGTTCTGATTCTGAAACCAAAGAATTACTAGTAGATTCTGAAAGCAGGACTATTTATGCCCCGTTGAGCAAAACCTTTCTTTTTCATAGTTTAACAAAACATTATTGATCACATGTCTTGTTGTCAATTTTTGCCCATTTGATTCAATTATGCATACCATGATCCAACCTAACTTTTCCCTTTCTTACTTTTCTTTTTGGGTGTTATGATCCAACATAACTTTGTGAGGATGGAAAAAGAAATGTGCCACGTACACATTCAGTTGGGGCATTTGCATGATATAATTTCTTCACTTTATTTTTTTCAAAGCAGAACTTGCAGTGTGGGGAGAGTGTAACAATAGAAGGACAAGCCTATACTATATCAGCTGTAACACATCGCTATCAGCTTCGGAAGGGAAAATATGAACCCAGTGAGAAGAGACTTGATGTTTTGTCCACAGGAAGATACTTATTAAATTTATATTTGGAAAATTTATTAGAACAATCTTGATTGGTACATCTTTGTAGTAGTAATAAGTTCTATTTATATATCCATGTGTAATGGCTTAGTTATGTTTCCCTTGTTTAATACCAATGGAAAATAAAAATATAAATTATAAACTGAAAAAAGGTGGGGAAAAATTCCTAGTAGCACTACATGGCAGTAAAGTGAGACCTCACAAACTGAAAATAAAGAATAAATAAGTTAAAAATATATAAATAGGTAAGAAATGAAAATTAATATTTAGTTGATTGACAGAGAATAAATAATTGACACATAGTGTTTTTGAAAGTTGTATAAGAAATAATCTAACAAATAAATATTTAAATTATATAACGTGACATGAGATTTCTAATATATTCCTTCAATAAAGTACGTTAGATTAGATAAAGGATATATTTGAAATGACAATTTTTATTTAAAACAACAATAGTAAGAAAATTAGGTTGACTCTAATAATATATTAATATCTAATATAAAATCAATTGAAGAGTAACTAATAAATATTTAAATCATGAGAATGATAACATTGACCTTCTAACTTGATATAAAAAATAAAATTGAAAAGATATACATAAAAAAAAATTGGACGAGGAAAATTACATTTTATAGAACATCACTTTTTTTTCTTTTAAGTAATAGTTTGTTTGCATAAGTGTTTTTTTGAAGTATTGCTAAAAAAGAAAAAATAAAAAGATTGTCGGTTAAAATTAACTTTATATATATATATAGACAGATATCAACAATTTTTGTTTAAATTAATATTGATAGATATAAATAATAGTGATTTGTATTCTTTAAACTGTTAACTTGTCATAAATTCATTTTAGAAAAAAAAATCAAAAATCTTCTACCGTGTTAATTATGTTTGACAATAACTAATTTAACCAATGAAATGGTAAAAAAAAAAAAACATTCTTGATTTAGCAAGATTACGTTATTTATTATATGTATATTTTAGGTTCCATGGCAAAATTAAGATATAGACATTTATTTCATAATGTAGTAGGCTCCCACGCTAAAACCTGCACGTGGGACCACCGCGAATTCGCACGTGCATCCCTGATAATAATGTCAGAGTCTTCTATCATGTTGGGTCTGAAACATTCATGCATTGAGCAGTGGCACAACAATTTTGTGTGACATATACGAGCAGTTTTTTTTATTTCATTTGACCAACAGCCACCCCTTTGATTCATACTCTTGTCGTGTATTTTGACAATAATTAATTAATTGACACCAGATTCAATTTGTCCTCTCAACAGATAAGATTGGATCTCAAGTTCAATTATTTGTTTTAATTGGTTGGTTACATATAAGTCTATTGATAAAAAAATATTATTTTTTTATTTAAATATATTATTTAAAAAAAATAAAAATTATTTATATTTAGTGATTTTATTAATTATTAATAAAAAAATACATGGACAATAAAAAAATTAATACAATTATTTGGTTGGAGAAGTGTTTTTTTCACAGGAGATAATAGTAGAAGTTAGATAAAATTATTGCAAATTGTTGTTTTTTTTTAATATTTAAAATGGTTGTAATTTCAATATTATATTTCAATCTTCATTGCACATGATGGTTAGCTGATGTTAAGTTTACATTTATAAATTTTATATAAAAATTATTTTTCTAAAAAAATAAATATATTATCAAAATTAGATGTTTTATACATAAAATTTTAAATAATAAATAAAAATTTAACTATAATATAAATGTTTTAAGATTTGACATATAAATTTATCTATTTTTCAAAATTTAAATATATTAAAAAAAATTAATGCTTATTGACTTGGATACATGATGAATTTTACACTTAAAAAATAAGTAAAGGATTATATATAAATAAAAATTTAAGATATAAATTATATATTTATTATCTCATTCACGCGTATTTTTTGCTAATATCTCCATCTTCATATGTAGATCACCTAAGTAAATCTAACTAAACAAAATATTTTACCTCAACCAAACTAACTATATCAACATAATTAATCTAATATTTATAGAAACATCTAACATTACTCAAACCTATTAAACACTTTTATAATTTTAATATAAAATGAATAAATGGTTAATATTTCTAAGTAGCTGTTAAAACAGATGTATAATCTTTATTTCATTTGCAACAAATTAAATAAGAAACAAACAAAATAAAATAATAATTTTATAGATAAAGTATAATCTTTCAAAACTTAGAAAAAAAAAAGATATATATATATATATATATATATATATATATATAGGTATATATTTCACTTTTATTCCATTTCTTATTGACCTGATTTACACCTGTAACTTATGTATGATGGACTTAAACAAGAATTGGAAAAACTCAAAGTCGTGGCCAGTTTTCTTTTTTACATATAATTTCTTTAAAAGAAAAAAAAGTTGTATTTATTTAAATAAAAATTAAAAATATTATAATCAATTAAACGGTAAAGTATAAATTGTACAATTATATAAAATCGCTATATTTTCCATTGAGTGAAAGGGAAGCATTAAACAAAAAGTTTAAAGGTCCAATAATTCAAATAGCAGAATATATAAACAAAACATTTGATTTTTTTATTTTTTTTTTTGGCAAACGTTATTCATTTTGCAAAATTATTTAAAAAATTTAGAAAAATTAATTTGTTAATTTTCAAAAATTAAAATATAGTGTTAATAAACTTTTTAAGGAGGGCTTTTAATTTTTATTTTTTTTACGGGGATAAATTATAAATAGTTCATAAGTTAAAAAAAAAAACTAGAGGCATTATATATAAAAAATTAATATAAATTAATTATATCCGAAGAACAAGGTGTTTTTTTTTCTGATTTTTAAAATTATTTTATAGATAAATTTATCTAAATATATTCATAGTCGTCTTTTATTTATTTTTAGATTAAAAAAAAACTATAAGATGAAGTGAAGGCTTGTAGGGCTAAGATTGAGTTGAAAGAGTGGGCCCAAATGGTGAGGGCCATGATAGGGGAAAACATGTATGTGGTCACAATCATTAGGACTACACCCCACCTAACCCTATATTCTTTCGCTATACTTTTACACTATGTGTAGTGCACTCACAAATAACCATTTTTTTTAGGACACTTAATCATACACGTTCTAATACTTGTTATTATTAATTAAAAATTATTATAGATTATAAGATTATGAAAAAAAAAAAGTCGAATCACACAATTATATGACTTTTTAATAATTTTTTCACGAAACAATATTATAAATATATTAAGTTTTTTACAGGCATCAATTTCCCTCTTTCAAATTAAAAACTTTTTTTTAAACAAGTAAAAGCGTATTAAAAATTTCCCTTCTTTAAATTAAAAAATATATAAATTTAATTTATTTATACCTAATATTGACTAAAAATATAGATAGAAATTCATTTTCAAATTCATACAAAAAATAAAGTAAACAAGATAAATGAATATAATTTTATTTTATTTTTGCATTACACTTCTCTTACTTTTTTACGAGTTAAATTATTTAGACGTGCGTTTTCTTATTATTTATGATAATTTTTCTAACACAATACAGCACAATTTAATTTAAACATGCCAATGGAAATGTTTTTTTATTTAATACAATTTTATGTTGGTTTTTATTTCATGAAATTAATTATTTTAAATTATATAAGTATTAAAATCATTAATAATACAATAATATATTGTTAAATGTCAATAATAAAAAATAAAATAAAATGGGAATGATTTTATCTGAATAAAATTAAATACTTATTCACGAATGACATTCTATTACTCAAATATCAAATTTTTACTTACAGTTCATATAATTTAATCAAGTAGTTTCTTATATGGTAGTTTATTATATGTGATAATACAATATTTTTATTATTTAATTATGTACCTCTAAATAAATATTATTTTAAATATATCTAGGAAGAAATAAATAGTTTTAATTTTTAATTGTGTTTTTACTCTTAATATGATTATATATATAGTTTTTCTCCCTCAATATTTTTTAAAAACTTTTATCTCTTAATTTTTTTATAACAATTAAGTTCTTTCATTATTTTTCTTCCACACAAAACCCTTTAAGACTTATTTATTTAGGACACGATTATTAGATATTTAATTATGACAAGATTGAAATGGAAATTATTTAAAAACTTAGGTAGTTAAAAAATTATTCAATTTAAAAGATTTTGTAAATTGTGAAATTAAGATTTGAAGGGGAAAAAGGATGAAATCTTTAACCTACAATAAAATATGGTACTCTAATTGATGGAATTTGAGCACGGTTTAATGTTTTCGAATCACAAATATTTATTGATTGTTTTTATGAATATTAGGACTTATTTATTTACTATTTTTTTTAAATAGTTTTTAGTTTTTTATATTAAGAATTAACAAACCAAAATAGTTTTTGAAAATTAAAAAATTTAAAATTAATAAAATGTGCTTTTATTTTTAGTTTTCTATTTTTATTAACAATATTAACTTATTCTACAATAATTGTATTACATAATTCACCTTCTATATTATCAAATTATAAAAATTGTTTTACGTCACAATTTTCGTACACTCTTTTTCATCTAAAACAGATTCTAAATTAGAGTTATAAAATAAAGTAAAATAATTTTGAATAATTACTTAGTATCTCAAAATAAAGTAAATAATAATTTATATAAATTATAATTTTTCAATCATTATTTATGAACAAAATTAAAAAAAAATTGTAAAAGATAATATTTTGAATATAATAATGATATTAATAATATTATTATAATAAATGAGAATGAAAAACTATGATGAAATAGTAATATATATATATATATATATATATATATATATATATATATATATATATATATTCCATTGATTTATTTTAAAATTTTATAAATAGATAATTATTTTCTTTGGAAATAAATTATCCTCGGCATGTCCAACTACACGTAAGTTACTCCGTTTACTAATATATTATAAACTTGAAACAAATTTCATGTTATTGTGAAAGAAACAGAATATGGTGACAAGGA